GAAAAATACTTAGCACTGTTTTATCAAAATTTTGTGGACCACATTTGGTCTCCTCCCTTCAAGCAAATCAAACTTTTTAAGCACTATTAAACATGTTTTGCCATCAAGTTGCTGATGACAGTCCTAACATTCCAAGTACGCAAGTTTTAGTTTTTAGCACTTTATTTTAAAATCAGGGTACCTTAATGGCCCTATTTTTTTGAATGAATTTATTGGGTAAGCCCTCATGTCTAAATTCTGAAACAGCATTTTAATTATAAAGTATTCCCCCCCTCCCTCCAGCTCCTTAAATAAATTCTGGTTTCCATAAGCAATTTTTTTTTTCAGTAGCATAAACTAGCACTTGCATTCTTGGTCTCTTCTTGTTGCTACTGTTTTATGGTTATGCTATGGTTGTTTGGTTTCATATTTTTAATGTTCTATTTTGCCATTTTTAACAACTTTATATTATTTTTATACTCTTTCATGAATATTAAATGAGTAACTTGCATAATATAGATTAATTTATCCTACCGAGCTTTATTTGAACTGTGTTTATTTTTATAGTTTATGAATGCAAAAGATCTTCCTACAGAACCCATTAATGTAAACTATTTTTATCTCTGGAGAACAGTACTCTTGAAATGGATTTTGGGATGGAGAAAGAGTTTTTTATCCTTGTCCTTCTTTACAGCAATCCTACTTCAGATCACTATTTCTCTACAATTGTCAAATGTGAGAAAACAATGCCCTGGTTCTGGGGGCTGATGTCAACATGGTATAAATGCTGTTATACCTTTTAATGCTTGAATGGAAATGTAGAACTAATTCAGGGTGTTCCCTCACAATTCACTGTTCTATGTATCAGAATTCCTTTGATGACAGCTTCTGAGATGTTGATCTATAATGATAATGGATAAGGAGAAAATAAACTTTTATTACCTTCATGTCTGGAAAGGATCTACAAAAAAATAATTTGTTAATAGCAATCAATTAATTGCACTTAACAAAAAATGCCCTTAATCTACTTTATAAAAGGGACCAGTCTTGAATGGTGAATTAATTTCACAGAAATCTGTCTGACTTTTAAAGAAGAGTTTTCTTGGTAAAATAGATGAACACTTTTTCTTTTAGAAATATCTTCCTAAAATTTCTCCATTGTTTAACTTTTAAACTTGCTGTTTTCATTTTCCCCTATATACATAATATATTTTCTCATCCCTTAAAGACATGCATGCCAAGTGCAGTAGAACATCTGATACAAATAATGTACTTTTCTTTATAATTATTATGTAAATAAATATACATACTAATACATATATGCCAATAAATTATCAATTTGGGTACTACAGGATTACTACAATATTACTGAAACAGTAATAAGAAATATTTTTTTGAAATAATAGACAATTATTGCCAAAATTAGAAATTTTGTCTGCTTTTCAAAATAGGTTGCTAGTCTAAAGCTCTGGAGAGAAATGGCAGAGATGTTGCATTTCATCTATAAAAGATTATGAGTAGCATCCAGGTTTCATTGCATTTGGAGTTGATCCACTCAAATGAATGGCATAAATGAGTCATAACTGAGTCAAGTCCTTTTGACTTCAGCCAGTTGTAAAGCATTGAGCAGGACATTTATTATTGCTACTGTTCTCCAATTAAAATGATCTACAGTTAGTTACATTTAAAATCTTCAAAATGTTATTAATAGTCAAAAGTAGATCTTTATAGTTAAATTGTAAGTACCTAAATATTAGCCCTTCAAGGGAACAGACAGAAACCATGAATTCTAACACAAACTACCTTTATTGTAAGAATCTTGCAAGTCTGAAAGTGCTTCTGTCCTCTTTACTTTTTGTTTCCCTAAAACTAGGAAGGATTCCTTCTGAGATGCTTCCCACAGACTTTTTCTTTCTGTGGGCTGAGAAACCTTTGCACTAAGGCAGCATATTAAAAAGAGGCAATAATTGAGAAGGCAGGCAGTCATTCAGATTAATGTGGCATATAATTATTCTGGTCACAAATCCTCCACCAGACAAATTAGCACCATAGGTTAAAGCTCTTAATAAGGATTGAGGATCACAAAGAGAAAAAAATGCCCTTGTACCTAAAGTCCCAAAGAGCTTTAAAGACAGCATGTAACCTAAAAATCTATTGGTTCAAGTCAAGGGAAATCAGTGCAACTATTAAGGAACATTATAGTACAGTATAATATCCCTCTAGATTAATTTATCTATCATATTATTAAGCTAGCTGAAGTAGTTGTACTATACCCCAAAGTAGCCTGATATAAGATATACACATTAGTAATGCTGCTGCAAGCCCCTTACTAATGCACCATTGATCTGAGATAATTCTTTTCAAAGATTATGCAAAACTACTGCATTGATCGCAGCTTGTAAAAGCACCCCTAAACACAGCCTTTGACTTGAGACACCAGTTGAAACTAGGATCAGGAAGGTTTACAGGTTGGACATTGCTCTTTCTGGGGAGTTTAGTTTCATGCAGAACAAGAAAATCCATTCCACTTTTCCCAATGCAATCACTCACATCCTTATTTTGCTGATTTTAGTCTTTTTTGTTTTTGTTTGTTTAGATCAAGTCAACAATACAATAAAATCTATGATCAGATTTTGAACAAATAAAATTAGTTTGTCACAAAATTGAGTTATTACTAGCAACTTTATGACCAGAAATTAGGGAAATAATTTCACTGTGAGTGGTAGGAAGGTCCTTATATAATAAGAGCTCAGTTAAATCTGAGGAAAAAAACTTTTGCCCAAGCATTGCCTACTACTGGGAATGACTCAATTTCTTAGCAGAAGATATGGAATTATACATATCTGAGAACATTCATCATCTTAAAAAATGGATTGAATGCTCTTCAGTTTGGCTACAATACTTTGCATTCATATGGGGTCCCATATAAAAGTTGGGATAGAATCTTTGAATGAAAATAAGTGTTTATATTTCATTGAATCCAGTACTGCGTACAAACATAATTTAGAGAGATATCACCATAGCTACTGAACAGTGTAATATTGGTAACATCCCATGTAAATTCTTTTGATTTCACATCATGGTTTCATGTAGTTGTTAAAACATTTATGATTGAATGGAGCCTTGAGGAATTCCTTGTATCTACTCCTGTTTTGAGGAGATATACTGTATGAATGATATCATTGCAATTCAGTTCTCCATTACCTAATACCTTGGACTGTCCAAAAAGACACTATAGTTAATAGTATTGAAAGCCACTGAGAGAATAACTTTGTTTGACAACATAATCATACTCTGTAATCCTTGAATGCCATCTGTCAGTCCAATTATTAAGCCACCTCAATCCTAGAGGCAGTTTGAAATGGACATAGTTAATATTTTTATTCTTAGAACTTTTGAAGATAATTGGTATAGTTTTCTCTATCTTGTCTCCCAGCCAGAGGATCAGGTAGATTGTCTACTACCAAAGGAACCAGGGAAGATCTTTTAACAGTCTAATCCAGGGCTGTCAAACTCCATTTCATTGAGCGCCACATCAGGCTGTGGTTGACCTCAGGAGGGGGGGGGCAATGGGCATGGCGGACTGAGTGGGCATGACCAACTTGATGCCACTTCCCAAACTGCTGCCATGTTTCGTCTTTGCATTAGGTAGACCAGGCTGAAGCTACGATGGCCTGAGCTTTCCTCTTTGCATCTGGTAGACCAGGATGGACTGGATCTGACCACATTGTGGGCCAGATCTGGCCCGTGGGCCTTGAGTTTGACACCCCTGATCTAATCATTCATTGCTTCCTTTAAACAAGGACTCCTCTCTCCTTCTGTGAGGCATTAATAACATATATGTTCAATATTTTAATCCAGGGGTGTCAAACTCAATTTCATTGAGGGCAGCATCAGGGTTATGTTTGACCTTGGAGGGCTGGGGGTGGGCATGGCCAGGATAGGCATAGCTAGCTCAACATCACTTGTTGGGGCTCTGTTTTTGGCCACAACAGCCTCCTGCAGTTCTCTGCCAGGGAAAACGGAGTTCGGGAGGGCCTTCACTGTTTCCAGGGTGGCCCCATGGCCCAGATCTAAATACCCCATGGGCCTTGAGTTTGACACCCTGTTCTAATAATTTCCATTAATGATGAAATCAACTACATTAAGCAAAGCTCCAAAGGATTGATGATAAACAGTGCTGCCACAAGCAGCTTATCCATATCTTCAGGACTTAAAAATGTATCCCCTTGACTCTGCTGTCCAGATTAGCTCAGCTATGAAAACAAATTATCAGCAAATATCTCTGTAAAAACATCACAGAGAAGGCTTCTGGGAGCAAAATTAAATTTGGACAGATTTAAATGCTTACATGGGAAAGCTCTGCTAGATGTGAGTTTGCCAATTCAATATGTGTAAACTAAATGACCCTAATATAGGACTTCAAATGAGCCCCCGTGGTATGTTATTGATTTTTTTATTTGTATTCCAATCATCTACCTTGTTGCTTTTATAGTTTTTTTGTACAGTTGTTTTAAAGCAGATTTAAAAAGTTAATCAAAAACAGGATAACCTGTTCTAGGTAACCAACAGGACATTAACAGTCTATGAAAAGATGTTCTGTTAATTAACCGCAACTATGTATTTTTTCTGAACATAAAAGATATATATCCCATTATATTAAAGTAAATTATTTATTGTAACCATAAAAGGTATATAAATAATCTGATGCTATTGGTTTTTTTCTACTCCTAAAATATATTTTTTGGAATTTTCAATTTGCATATCAAATGCATATGAAGATTTGGGCAACCAGTTCAAAGATTTTTCCATGTAGATTAATAGTTCAAAAATAACCACATTTTATACTGCATTAGGAAAAGATTTTGTTTCTGAAAAATGAAGGGAAAAAATAAATTTAAACTGTTGTTCCAAATCACGTTTTGTTGATTCAAATCTTGAAATGACATTTTTTGCTTAAATTCTGCCCACATGCAATTGATTAACAAACTGCTATGTATTTCCTTACTGTGTTTGTTTAGGTCAGCCTGCTCTCCGTGAAGCTATCTCTTTGTCCTGCATCACCAATGGAAACCCAGGAAACAGAAAAAATAATCGTAGTCCATCTATCCCTATTGCTGGGAAAAAAACCCTTTCATCTGCTGCTAAAAGGTATACCTTATGCTGTCTGCCACTACCTTTCTCTTCTTAACCTCTCTGTGTCTCCTTCTAGCTTTCTTTTTTGTGTGTAATTTTGTGATCTAGGAGATGGTGTTTTCTTTATAGTTAGACCATGAGTTATAACTATTTGTTCAGTGATCACTGGAAATTAGTTATACCCAGTCCCAAAGTTATACCACTGCAGTGCCCCCATGGGCACATGATCAAAATTTGGGGACTTGGCAGCCTGCATACACTTACAATCTCAAAGGCACTTCAACTCCCCCCCACCTCCATCTGCCTATCTCTGCTCTTTTGGCTGTCCTGCACAATGGCACTCCTTGGAGACAGTACTGGGATTGAAGTAGAGGCCCAGGGCTTTCAGCAATCCCAGTTGGCTGCATTGCCCCTGGGCTTCTGTTTCAGCCCAATGTTGCTGCTGAGGAGCATGCCCTGGCTCTGGACCAGCCAGCCCAATGCCATGGCCCCAAGCTCTTGGTATCCTGATTCCACAGGCAATGCTGTGTTCAGCTGACCTTAACCATCTTCCTCCTGCTGCTCATGAGACACATTTGCCTGGCTCTCTGTGAGGCAGCACTGCTTCAGCAGCTACCTCAGAAAAGGACAGGCTTTGTGTGCTTCATCTGTAGTGGGAAGAAGATGGTAAAAGTCAGCTGTGTGTTGCAGGGTCTGCAGAGTGTGGGATGGTGGGGACAACAGAGGTGCTTTAGCACTAGGATGGCTGGCTGCTGCAGAAGCTTGATATGGCACAAGCTGAAGCTGAGGGTGATGGCTGAGTAGCCGAGACTGCTGAATGCCTAGGCCTCTACTTCAGCCACAATGGTAGGGCACTGCCACTGAGATGTTAGGGCATAGCCAAAAAGGCAGAATTGGAGAGGGGGGAGATAATCAGGAAGTCCAAGAGGAGGCAGTGCCTTACCTTAGTGAGCCTCACAGCTGGAAAAGACCAAGTTAGGAATGACTTGGATTAGACGGGGTCCTCATCTAATGGCCAGTGGGATTCAGTTAATGATGGCAATGGGAAATCCTGGGATTTCTGTCCCTAAAACGATGGAGTTGCTTGATATTTCACTTCCCCTCACTCTTAGATATCCAATATCTTTGCTTCCTGCCCTTTGGGTTCTCCACAGCCCTATGGATCTACTGCCTATCTGTGTGAATGTTACCTTTCAAAGATAACCAGAGCTCAGGGAGTATCAAAGACTGCTCCATTGCTGGCCATGTGCAGAATTGAGGAGAAGAATTCCTGGAAGCTTTACTTTCCTTGCAATGCTTTACTCCCCCATGGCCAGTAGAGTTAACATAAAGTGAGTGAATGGTGACCAGGCATGTGGAATTTGGTGAGGCGGCAAAGCCTCTTTGCCTGTGGGACCCAGCAAGGCAGAATAGGGGGAGGAAGAGGTGAATGGGTGTGTTGTAGCATCCCTGTGGTCAGTGTTAAGGACAAATGACTTCAGCGGGACTGAAATGGGTTTGTGTCAGAGATGGTATTCAACCATTTTGCACCAGTTCAGGCAAACCAATAGCAGTGATTTGGCGTGGGTTGCCAAACTGGTGGCAACCGCTGGCTAGCCATGCCCCTGACCCGGTTGCCTGGTCGCTCACTTGCCTTGGTCGCTCTCCTAACTTTCCCTACCAAGTGGCTGCAGCAGCACAGCTCAGGCGGATGTCCCGCAGCTGGTGTACATGTACACTGCCTGTGCATATGCTACTGTTGGACCCGGAAGCCTTGCCTGCTGGCTTTTTCGAGTAAAGCAGGACCAGAGACTAGCTGGGAAGAACTTTGTAACGAGCGATGCTGCTGGGCACTTGTAAGTGTGTGTGTGTGTCTGTGTGTGTGTTTGTTTCAGGTGGGTCTCCTCTCCTAGCTTTAGAAGGAAAGAGGGAAGGAGGAAGGGAAGGGATAGAAAGAGAGGGAGGGGGGGGAAACAAAGAAAGAGAGAGGGGAAAGAGAGAGAGAAAGAGGGAGAGGAGAAGAAAGGAAAGAAAAAAGGGAAAGAAAGAAAAAGAAAGGAAGAAAAGGGATAGACAAAGAAAGACGTGATGGAAGGAAGGGAGAGAAAGAAAGGGAGGGAGGGAGGGAAAAGTGAATGAGATATATGGATCAATAGATGAATAGATAGATACATGGAAGGAGGGAGGGAGGGAGGGAGAGAGAAAAAAAAGGAGAGGAAGGAAGGACACAAACCCTGACTTCAGAAGACTGTTTGAAACAGCACAGCAATCTAGGGCTGGAAGGGATCTCTGAGATCATCTTCTAGTCCAAGGGTGTTCAAACTTGGCAAGTTTAAGACTTGTGGATTTCAGCTCCCAGAATTCCTGAGCTAGCATGACTGGAGGAGGAATTCTGGGAGTTGGAAGTCTACAAGTCTTAAAGCTGTCAAGTTTGAAGACCCCTGTTCTAATCCAACCCACTGCTCATCTGGAATCTGGATTATTTTGGTGCCTCTAACAGAGAGGAAAATTGGCAGAGGAGTTTACTAGGACAAGGCTGCCATGCAGAGGAAGACAGAAATAGTCCTTCACTTATGACCACAACTGAGCCCAAAATTTTGGTTGCTAAGCAAGAGCATTGTTAAGTGAGTTTCACCACATTTTACTAAATTCATGATATCTCCTGGGTCTAACGGTCATATGCAGGCTAGAGAAGTAAATCTGAAGGCATGTGCAGTGTTCTAATGTACAGAAGTTATAATTAAATGTGTGGCAGAAAGTGGACTATGGGTGTGTTTTTCCAAACGCAGTGAGGTTGAATGTGTATAGTTTTAAAAGAGCTGTGCGGGTGTACATATACAGTATATATAGCAGGTAATGTATCTTTTTGTGTGCCTATACACACACTATACTATGTAATATGTATGTACACCTATGGCATATATACATAGGATTAAATAGTGTATTTTGGATGTTCAGTAATAGTAAATAGAGAAGGAAATTGTATCTCTTTGAGGCCAGGCAAGGCACCCCTTGACGTGAGTGACATCAAGTTGGCTATACCCACCCAGTCACATGATCACCAAGCCATGCTCACCAAATAAGCCATGCTTACAGAATCCCACCACTGGTCTATGTATAACTTTTGTAAGTTCGAATGTTCACTAAATGGCCTGTCTTGAGAACTATCTATATTTGCTATGTGTAATTTATAGTTGTTGTTTTGAAATCTATAGTATATGTTAACCTAGACGGTATAGACAGTGATGGGATGATGATGAATTCCACGGATCAAGAAATGTATAAATTATTCACTAAATTCTTAGACGAAGTATCCATCTTTTAATAGGTAAATTAAAATTCTTAATGTAAAAGCTGGATGAAGAAAATTGTTTAAATATCTGATTTTCTGTAATTAACCTGATTCACTTTTAATGGCTTCTTTCCTATTTGTTTGCTTTAAAAATATTTTATATATTTCTATATATGTACACATTTTTTATACTTTGTTTTGCAGTGGTACAGAAAAAAAGAAGGAAAAACATCAAGGACAAACAGAGAAAAAAGAGGACTCTCATTCTAGTGATCAAAACCCACAATCTCAAGCATCACCTTCTCCCCAACCCTCTGCCCAGATTCTCCCAATACACAGGCAGACCCCAGAAGTCAAGAGCTTTGCTCCAGGCAAAAGGTTTCCTAAATACAGAGCTAGGAAGCAATTGCAGCAATACTAACATTACGCTTTGCTCCCCCTTAAAAGCATGTATATGTCTTGTAAAATCTTTCTTGAAAGATTTCTATTCTTCTTTTGAACTCCTTTTAGAGTTCATACTGCTTGTTGCTGGAGAATAACAGTTCTCCACCAAGTCACTTTTCCCCCAGAGCATATTTATTAGAAACATTTAAAACATTTAAAATGGTCAGTTTAAAATAGCACTATAATACACAAAGCAGGAGCAAAATATTTTAAAACGTTATATAAAAGAAACCTAAATAATGGCAAGGTCAGCGTTTCGGTGCACCTGAAGCACACGCTTTCCCGAGCAAGATTTTTTTTTTACTTCTTCTTTCTGTTTAATGTAACACACTTCTGAACACCGAGGGGGTGTAGAAATAGGCTTGCCTTCCAAGGAAATAGATGTTGTAACATGGAAGCATGTGAAAGGTTATCGGCAGCCGATTCCACAGTCTAGCTTGATTCAAGCAAAATGATTTCCTTCCCCCTTTCCTTCTCCAGATACAACTCACTAAAATCAGGATGCTATTTGGTCAACACGCCAGTTATTCCAGTCTCTTATCCGGTGCACCCAGTATAATTTATTTCCAAGCAAGTCAAATGTTCATGACTAATGTGAAGCTCACAAACCATAGATATTTAAACAACAACACCTTCTCTGATTTAGGATAAAGGAGAGAAATAGCAAAATTTCTTAGGCAATCTGGTTCCAGAATCTTCGAATATTTTTTTTAAATCACCATGAAAACTGAACATTTTGAAGTAAATACTTGCCTTGAGGCTTGTTTCTGAAATGATCTAAATAGATTTTCCTGATTAGATTTTGCATTAAAAAACAGAGAGACAGAACATGCAACCTTCTAGGCAGGTTACAAGAACTAAATGATATCTTCAAATTATTTTGCATATTAATTAGTGCTGGATAATCCCAAATTTGATTTGGGTTTAACTTGAAAATTTGAATAAATTATTCTGTCCTCATAATGTATGGCAGTAGCAGTTCTGTATGATTCTAATCAGAGGCTTTTAAAGATCACTAAAGATTCTATTTAGCTAAAATCTAAAGTATACATTCTGTCACTGAGACCTAAGAGATAACACCTCTTAAATATCTGAATCAGGCTGAGATCTTGTTGTGCATCCTTCCCCCCCCCCAAAAAAAAAATAGCAGAAAAAATCACCATCCAAATCTTGTCTAATTTTTTAACATATTTTTAATGTAAATAAATAAGTCAGTAAAATAATGTTACAATTTCAGTTGCTACTGGTAGCATTTGTCTCCAACAAAACGATTTTTTAAAGTATATTTTTGAATGGTAGCTAAGCAAAGGGCAATTTGCTATTCCTCAGATTATAAAACAGCCAAGGTAGCAATAACAATAGCAGTTATACTTATATACCACTTCATAGTGTTTTACAGTCCTATCTAAGCAACTTACAGAATCAGCAAATGAGGACCTAGATTGCCTCCAACAGTCTGGGTCCTCATTTTAATCAGAGATTGCTGCATTTTTCCTCCACAATATTTGTAAGACACAAGATTGCCTATCCGAAGGTATGGGCTAACTACATATTATTCAACTTAAGTTTCACTGTAATGAAGCAGAAATATTCATGATTAATTTTGTTATATTTTATTGCAACTCTAGTTACAACTAACTTGCTATGAATTCATGTATATTTTAATAATTGTTGGACACAAACATACAGAGATAACTGTTGCAAAAGGGGAGGAATCAAATACTATTGATTAAAGCAGGTTCAAAATGTTGAAACACGAGTTTTGTATTCCTATTTCTAAGAAATAGAAAACACACCTTGGATCCTTGGATCTGTAAGCCATATTTCAAACACTATTTTTACTGACCCTTCTGTCCTAAATAAAGCTATTATATTCCATCCAATAATCACTTATGCCCTGATGACCTTTCATTGCCTAAGATGGATAGCAGATTGAGCAAAAAAATGTGTGAGCAAATATGCTTCTTGAAGAGCAATTTGAATCTGAGATTAGATATGAATTTCTACATGTGTCACTTGGGTTTTATGGGGGAGGGGGAGGGTGTTCCCATATGCTGGGAAGCTGTACTTGCTTAGTTTTTACAGTACTTGGGGACATAGCAGATGCTTTCCATGTAAGCAAAATCATGAGGTTTAATGCAGCTCTAATCAATGCATGTTTAACGGTTTGTCGTGAACTCTATTATCCTGCACAAACTTTGCTTTAACAGTTTTTGTCTGTTCTTTCTGGTATCTTCCTGTACAAGGTATCTGTTCCTGGGATCCGCATGTTAATTTGTGACTTTCTGAGCCTTCTCAGAAGGTGCTTTCTCACTTTTTTCTCCTAATGTTTGACTTCATAACTTTTGTTACTTTCTTGTTTTCCTTTTAGCTTTTGAAGTTCTTGTGGAAATTAACTTACAGTTGCACAAATTGTCTATTTAAAAATTGTCTTAACGGGATTCATTGCAAGGCAGTTAATTGGGCAACTGTAGGAACTATAATGTATTCTAAGTTTCAACCTCACAAGATGAGTGAGTAAACAATCTTGTTTGCTTAGTTGGAAGAGGTTTATCCTGTATCTCCCAAGAAAGTGGGCAAGGTTCTTAGTTCTATTATGCTTGCCATTTCTTCAGTAAATCCAAGACTGTCCTGATTGGTAAAGCCTTGTAAGAAGGTGGCGTATGGCTGGATCCACACAGTGATAAAATTCCTTTTGAATATGATGGTAATAATGCTACACTTCTCAAAAGCCATCCAACAATCCTGGACCAAATCTGTCCAATCTCAATCTCCTTTTGGGGGAGGAAGGTTCATGAGATGGTGGTTGGACTGGAGTTTCAGGATTCCACACCAGAACATTGGATTCAGATAGCATTTACTCATAACTGTGGGTGGTCATCCTGTCTCTTCTTGTCTCTCAGTAGGTTTCAATACTTTCAATCATGGTATCCTTCTGGCCCAGCTAAGGAGATTGGGAGTGACTGACTTGGTGTTGAATGATTCTCCTCCTTCCTCTATGGCTGTTTCCAGTTACTATTGGGGAGGGGAGGGGGGAGAGATATCAAGCCTGAAACTCCCAAGTTTGCAGGATGCCCTGAGCTTGATGCTCTCACACTTTATGTTCTCACCCTTTATTTAACTTCTAAATAAAGCTCCTGGAAACATCTGTCTGCCTGTTGTCAAGAAGCATCTGTACACAAATGATAGTCAATTGTACATCTCAGCCTCTTGCACTCAAGAGGATGTCAAGATTTTGTCCTAGTGCCTAGAGGCTATTAAGGTCTGAATAGGGAGAGTCAGGCTTAAATTCAACTCTTAACAAGTTTGTTTGACAATGGGTTCATGGATCATCTGGCTTTGGTCATTTTCTGTCCTTATTTCTGAATTGCACTTCCCCAAATGGAATAAATGTACAGTTTGGGGATTTGCCTAGACTTGTAGCTATTGTTTGAAGTCCAGGTAGCAATTGTGGTTTTGGAGGGAAATGTTCTATTTCTCATTTTCAGTCACTCTTTGCGATAGCTTACTTTATTTTGGTTAGCAATAATTTATTCTTTGTAATCTTATCAAAGAATTAAGTCTACCAACCAGAACCAGATGGAAAACAGAAGATTGAAGAAGAGTTTTTAGCACATGTCCAACTAGGGCTCATAAGAGTAGCCTTTGATAACTGTGCTAACAGGCTTTAAGAAATGTTGCCCTTTTGACGGTCTTTCAAGATCCAGTTAGAGCACTATCTAATCCTTCTTTCTGAGGGTCCTGTGGATTTTCTTGGAGAAAGGCCTATCCTGGCATTTCTTTTATCTCCTGCTGCTTGACCTGTTTTGTTTCCAGCACAATTGCTTGCAATATCTCATTTAGTACTTGGGTTAACTTGTACTAAATATAGTACTTATATACTGTGCTTGTCTTTCTAGTTTGAAGAGATTGTCAACAGTTGAAAAATCACAAAGCACATGGGAAAGTTCAGAGGACAGTCGTAATAAATTAATAAGAGCAACTTCTGCATCAAAACTGATACCCAAAAGTGGCAAGAATGCAGATAAGTAAGTAGTGGATTCCTTGTTGGTATCAGAAAAGTTATTCTGAGTTGTTACTCTATGAAGGTTTGTAAAAATATAACCATTTTGAAGACCAGTGATGTCTATCACTATCACTGATGGAATTGATTTTCCCACTTCCTTGAGTTTATAACTGCCACCATTCAAATCTATTGTAAATAAAATAACTAAGAGCAGAATTGGATATTAAGATGGGGAAGATAACGTTTATTGAGCAAAATTATAAAATGTTGGATGTTGTCCTGTACAATTGCATTTACTTTCACCCCCTTTCCAACATTTTGATATGCAAGTCATGAACCTGCATGTTTTTGGGGTGGGTGTAGTTCTAGAAAAGCTCCAGGTGTATGTTTCATTCATCTTCTACACACCTGCATTCTTACTTCACCACATTTTTTCCTTTAACTAGGTAGCTTTGAAGTCAATTGTTCTGTTACATTACTTAATCAGAATTTTTCCATTATTCAGATTTCATATAAAGCCAAATTACTTTTTCAAAATATAAAATGTAAAATTGTAAATGTAAAATGTAGAACTGGTGTTCTAAAAATAGATTTATATAAAAAAAATTAAATATATATTTTATTTATAACCTTTCATGTACATCATTTAACACTAAAATTTGTATCAAGGACACTGTTTTTTAAGATCAACATCAGTCTTCCACTGTTTATATCTCTGTTGGAAAACAGTAGTCATTATCTTCAACTATCAAATCCAATGGGCCCCATGAGCTGAAAATTATGTTACCCTTTTGAAGAATTCCAGTTAAGGATGAATCAACTATACTTTTGGATTCATACTTTCATATATTAATAACATTATGCATTTCTTTCCATAGACACAAAGATGTGATCGTCAGCCAAGGTAATCAGAAATATTTGCTTTTTGCTGTTATTTTTATTAATTAAGATTAATATATTTGATAACCATTCTCAGAAGCTGTTTTAGAATAAATAGCATCTATTGTTAAGATGATAAAATTTGGTTTGCTGTTTACAGTTCAGTAGATTTGTTTCTCTTGCCTGTTACTTCTGCAGTGGAAATATTGCAAGTATTAGTTAGAAGAACCTTGCATCTACAGAACCTGTGTCCTGATTCAGATATCTTTGTGCACACTTAACTGTGAGTTTGGATCTGCTGCCTTTATTTTAAACCACTAGAGTTTCTGTCATGCAGAAAAAAACTGTAGGATGCTAGATAGATACAGTAAACTTTGGACTTGGGCATAGCCTAAAATCCCATACTAAAATCCAGCATAATACCCTGTTTGCTGTGACTATTGTTTGGCTTTCCAATTCAGTATAGAGTCTCTTGTGGTTTATGTACTGTGCTGGATTTCTTCCGCATGTGCATATACAGGTAGTCCTTGAGTTACGATGGTCATTTAATGACCATTCAAACTTATGATGGACTCTCCCCAAAGCTACCTATGACCCAGTTCTGAAGTTCTGATAATCAGCCCCTCCCCATAACCACATGACTACATTTTGAGTGCTCAACAACAGCCCTCATTTATGGCCATTTGCAGCACCCTATTGTCACATGACCATGATGATGGAGCACTGGTTTCCAGCATTTACTCCTGATTTCCAGCAAAACTTACCCCGTAAGAAACAATGAGTTTGCTTAACAACCATGGTATTTTCTTAAAGAGCATCATTTACTATCACTGTGTGTTCACTTAGCAACCAATTCAGAAATGGTCATAAAATAGGATCCAGTCATGTAGTGGATTTATGACTGTCACTACTTATAATCATAATTGCTGGCTCAATTACAGTCATAACCTGAGGACTACCCATTTCTTTTGCAAATTTAGATTTAAAAGTTTGAAATGGTAAGTTTCACCTAAGACAAGAAACACTTGATTTCTACTCATAAATAGAAAATGTTAATCCTAAAAAAGAATAATCAAGGTAAGGATTAAAATTATTCCTGATTAAATGTTGTTTATTTTGTTTTGTTTTACTTTAAGTTGGTTTTTTATTCTTTCCTCATATATTCAATTTTTAATTGTAATTATTAGATTTTTTTTAACCACTAATACAATATTGTAATCAAGAAATAAACACATTTTTCTCTAAATGACATATGTTCATTGATACTCTCCTTTCGTTCCTTTGGCATTCTATATCACCAATTATACAGTAGCCTCACAGCAAGATGGAGAGCAAATAAATAAATAATAAATCAGAAACTTTAAAACTTAAAAAAAATGACAAAACTTACAAAAGAATAAACTTGTTTATGTCAGAAAATCTTGTTTATTTGGCTAAAGTTCACATATCAAAAGAAGATTAATTAAATAGTGTTGAATTATACAGAATATTTACCTTACTCTTAGCTAAGAAAAGTTCTTATTGAGGATTAGAAGAAAGTTGCTTTGATTTGCAAATGTGACTGAAACATGAATGTGGAAATGTGGAACAAGTTCATTTAGCTGTATGGCCTATGTACTGAAATGGCTGCAATTTGTCTTTTATAGAGGCAAACACATATTCATGCTTATGACTTCCACAAATTCATAATTTGCTCAGTTATCTGCAGATAATGAAATTATCTTCCTTCTCTGTTCTATAGTTCAGATGACTTGCTTATCTATCCCTGTACTTTGGCAAATGCCGTTTACTTATTTGGAATTTGTTTTGTGGCATTCCATATACCCACCTTTCCTTCCTTGATTTTTTTTTTCCAAATTTGTTGAGGTTGCAACTCCCCATATTTCCCAACTATTTTATAGGGTAACTATTTCAATATCAACACACTGAGAATCCCAGATTGGGAAAAGCTGCTGAAAATTAAAATTTCTCTATTATGCCATATATTTATTTATCAAATTTATATGTCTACCTGTCTCACACAGGGTTTAAATGCTACTTCTACCACATAATCTCATACAGTACAATATAAATATGGCATGTCTTACCCCACTTGGTCAAGACTCTGATAAATATGCAAATTTCTTCTTTATATTAATGTGAATTTTAATGTAGCTTTAATGGTATTAGATGCCCATACAATACAGTTAAATAATTATTAAAATGCACATTAATATAAATCTAATCAACTTTAAACTGGATAAATAGTAGTTTATGAAAACAAGAATTGCTATGTACATAGTCAAATTGAGTCAGAGGATTAATAGTATAGGTACAATAGTCTGGTACATAGTGGGAAGAATTTGTTTTTTTTTTAATTACTTGTATTGCTTACTTAGCTGTCTAGAGCCAGGCAGCCATACAAATTACATAAATAAATAAATAAATAAATACCTGAGATATATATCAAAGCCAGCATTTATGCATTCTTCATTACCTTTTCTTCTTTCTTAGTAGCAGTGAGGAGGGATCTGAATCTTCTACTTTAAATTTTACCACAGACCACATTTAGAGTAAGATTAATCTCAGTTAAAGTTTATTGAATAATGACAGCTTTATAAATTCAGATGTGAAATTGGTTTGTCTCACTAAATCATGTACAGTAATAACCTTCATAAATGGTGGTTACCCAAAATAGAAGGAATAGCCTTTTCTTCAAGATAGAAAGGGAATATAGGAAACACAAGCCCAAATCTTAATTAAACTTGTTCTAAGAATAATAAACTGATTTATTGTTGATTCTGGATGAAGACCTACAAGCATAAGAGTTCAGAAAACGGTGGGAAAATATTTAAGTCTCCTAGGACATTCTTCTGCAGACTTTAAAAAAATTACTGTATTCTTAAAAAAGGAGTTCCATAGGAAGAAATCATGTATTATATTTTTTCTGAATATTTAATTGAGTTCATATAGATCTGACTTTAGATACTGATTTTTTAGCCCTACTATAATTATTAATTAACTGTTCAATAGAAGAATTGTACTGTTTATTGCCAATTACTTGTTGTATTATTTCCTAGGGCCATTTTACATACTTTTAAGATTACTTTTGGTTATCACAGTTTATACTTTTTAAATACTTCATGACTGTTTATCCCCATTGTTTATAGTTCTGTTTCTGATTTGCTTATTCATATGCAGTGCATTGCAGTAAAGAATAATGCTTTATGTATCTTATAAACATGCTTGAATCCCAAAAGTTTATGGCATAATATTTTAAAGGAGAACATATTAGGAGTGCTTTTTTTCTTCGTTCTTTTTCTTCTTTTAATGTGATTCAACTTATTACAGCATAAACAGCATCAGTTAACTATAGATATATTTTTCAAAGTATACAAAAGCCTTGAAATGAATATCAACAATATGCCGTGACTTTTAGAATCTGTTCTAATGGTTCTAATACATTTTCTACCATGTTTGGCTTTAGATCAAGGGTGCAACTATGTGCCAGTGCCTATTTTAAGGACTCAGCATTTGACATGACTGAATGTGCAATAAAGCCTTGATAGGTTGCTGCCAGGGCAGCAAGTCTCTACTTGCAGATTACTTTAACAAAAATTGTTAATGCAGTACAGGATTCTCTCTTTGAATACTTGAGTTGAAGGTATAGAATAGAAGTACACCCACCCAACTCTTCGTTTTCTTCGTAAATAATACATTTGTTTTATAGATACAAGCGCTTTTGCTTAAAATTATTGTGAGACATATCTGCCAACCTGCAAATTTGCATTTTTTTTCTAATTTGCCTACAAATATAAAATCCCTTCTTTCATTCATTTCCATGGTTCTGTTTTTTTTAAATATAGTTTTTATTAATTTATAGTATGACATACAAAAATAAATATTAGGAAAATTAGGGAAGGGAAAGGGGAAGTTGATAGTGGGGGAAAGCAAGGGAAAAAGAAAAAAAAAGTCATCGTCTTGCGACTCCTTTGGTGCAGTAAAATAAGGCTTTAACATCTACTCTCAACTTTTTACATTTTCATAATAATATAAAGTAGCCATTTCTATAACAACAAATCTATCTCATCAGTAAAACCCAAAATCAAAGTTTCATTTTTTTCCACCTCAAGCACAAAGTCCAGAAGCAGTTTCCAAGTAGAAATAAAGGTGTTTTTTTTTCTTTAATCAGAACAGTCAATTTAGCCACCTCTACTAACTCAATCAGTTTTTGCTGCCATTCATCCATTATTGGGATCAAGGTGACCTTCCATTTCTGCACGTAAAGTAATCTTGCTGCAGTTAACACATCAGAGTTCCAATTTTTTCCCCAAATCTTGTTACATTTAACCCAAAAGAAAAGACTCTGGTTTTCTTTCTATATGCACTTTAAGAATTTTCTGGATTAAGATACAACTCCTACTTCAATATTTCTTTGTTTTATCAAACATCCGCCATAAATGGTTCTGTTTTAAGACAAAATGGAAATGAGAAATAGCTGGCAGTTTGTGTACTTATTGGACAGCTACACTGTTTGAAATGATGGGGATTGTAGTCCAGCATATTAAAAGAGCACTAAATTTGGGGAAGACTGAATTAGCTTCTCTTACCACTGCATTAAAATCATACAAATAATAACTTAGAATTGAAACATCTGCAAGAAAACAGCTGAGCCTCAGAGAGTACCAAACACCTTCATGACTAGAATTGTACAAATACATCTATTTTTGGCCTTTTTTTGACATTTACATTTATCATAAACATTTTGAAAACAAAAGTTGATTCTTTGGAAAGAAAAGCCTCGTGTAAAACCCCTCTGAAATATTTTGGCACTATAACAAAATCATTGTGTTTCCTTTTGCAAAAGGAAGTGCAAACCAGTGATTTATACATTAAGGGCTATGGTTTTTCTACCTTAGGTAGAAAAGAAGTGATTTGATAAAAAATGATGATTGTATCCTCCTACTCTTTGATGATTTACTTTCAGTGCCAGAGCTTTATATCAAAACATTCCTGTTTTAAACATAGAGTTGCGTGCAGTGCTTTAGCACACCGGTGTTGCAGTGACATTTACACATTCTTTCTGATGAGGAAATACAGTAAAAAAAATAAGCAGGCCATTTCAAACTATCACTGTCAGATATCTGAACCATTATGCTCATGCAGGCTTTTTTTTTAAATAAATAGTTCCTTTTTCATGCTTCAATTACAGTATTATAGCAAATATTTTTGGTTCTCTATTCTGTAGGCAAGATCAAGCTACACAGTTAGTGTTGCTTTCATATGAAGAAGAATATTCTGAACATGTATGTAAAATGCTTCTTTTAATGAATATCCAATTAAAATATTATTTATAACAATTTGATAGGCAACCAATTTAGGACTGATTTTCTATCGTTGTGCTTTTAAATATATGAGAGATTACACATTTCTTTTTAAAAATAGCACACCCTTGAAAGATTTGAAGAAACACTGAGGATAAAAAAATGTTGAAATCTTACTCAATATGCACATGAACAATGTCTTCTGGTTGTAGCCTTTAAAAAATTGTTAAACAGTTTGGAAGATATCCAGTAAAATTCAAACTAATGTTCTGGAACATGATAATTAAGGCAATATAAATTAAAAGGGAGTCAAAGTGTTTCTTCTTTTAGCTTGTATTTGCAGGAACTTGGCCCAGAGCTAGGATTCTTTGTTTGAAAATGTTTTTGTTGGTCTTCTGACATTATCTGTACAGACTTTTGCTTTAATGCCTTAATTGCCCTACAGGTTTGTATACTGACGAGACCATTTTATGGTGTTGGCTTTCAAAGAGAGAATCAAGGATAGTGTAAGAACCAATTCCCCCTCCAGATAATCAAATTATCCTAAACAAAGAATTTATTTTATGAAGTTTGCATAATATGCCCCAATAGAAAAATGCTGATATTTTCTTTTTTGTTAGTTCCATGCATAAAAATCTCAAAAGTGGCTTAGTATCTTTATAGGAAATTATTTATAATCGAAGCCCAACAAACTCCATATTTGACCTTGTTTTTCTTCTGATGTCATTGAATTCTCTTAGGAGTTCTGTTTTCAAAAGTTGATTAAGAGTATTCAAAAGTACTTTCTTTCCATGACAGGCAGGTAGACAAAATGCCTGCCAGAAGCAACAGTAACTCACCTCAGTACAATGGCATATTTTGGAATGATAACTAAAGGCACTTTATGTCTATTGGCTGTTGAACTATTAAATATGCAATTAATTTGATCTAGACCAGGGGTGTCAAACTTGCAGCATCATGTTGTCACGCGATGTATTGTGGCTTTTTTCTTCCTATGCTAAACTGGGGGGTGGGCATGGCCAGCACGTGACGCATCCAGCCACAGGCCACGAGTTTGACACCCCTGATTTAGACTGATTTATTGAAACATGAATGGAGCTGTTTTACCATATGTTCGTGATGCTTTTCCTTTCATATTTCTTATTTTACCAAGAATAGGTATCAAGTTATATTTTTATGATTTAAGGAAGGCCTGATAAGCCCTGATCCTTCCTTTACACAATCCACTAAATGGGCATTTTCATACTTAACAGTCCATTTTGTTAGATATTGTTATTCTGCTAAGATCTGAACAATCATTAACTAACTATGATTTTCACTGAAATCTCTTAGCAAATTTAGTACAGCAACTTCCACAGAGCCACATGTTCCCCATACTGTACATGACTAATTTCTTTGCGCTGATGTTTCATTGGATTCAATTCTAAGCCTCTATCCTGGCAAAAGCATTCTAACAAAGACAAGGAAAATTACATATGCAGTAAAACATTTGTAATTATGAACTTTCACATAAGAATCAGACTGTAGTTCTAAATGAGCTATGTAGAGGATACTTCATGTACAATGGTACTTGGTACTTGACTGCTTTGAAACTTGTAAACTGTCTTACTCAACACATTTTGATGCAAAAATTTTGTCCTAGTACTCAGTGTTTGTTTGATACTTGACACACAAGGTAGAACTTGTCAATGTTGGTTGCCTCATGACTAATATGTTATTCTTTATGGGAAAAATTGTTTGGTACTCATTGTTTTTGGTTCTCATTGTGCCTTCCAGAAATAATTAACATGAGTGCCAAGGTACCTTTGTATTTTTTTTAAGCAAATATAGTGTTATTCCGTGTGATTTAATCCCCAGAAAGAAATGGGGTTAAGCCAATTTCAGTGATGTCCATTTGCGAAAGATGGAGTCATTTTATAATTATTTGAATAATCCAGAACTTTTCAACTCTTTGTATCTCATGGGACACAGAGTTAGAACTTCCAGGTGGCATCTCACAATACTCATCCCATAGGTGGAACTCCTGAGATATGTCCCAGGTTTCTAGGATAATAGAGGAGAAATCGAAGCAGTCCACTTCTAGTAATGATGCAGCATATCTGTGGATATTTCAGAGCACACAAGTGTATTGTACTAGAGCAGGGGTCTCCAATCTTGGTAACTTTAAGCCTGGCGGACTTCAACTCCCAAAATTCTCCAGCCAACAAAGCTGGCTGGGGAATTCTCGGAGTTGAAGTCCGCCAGGCTTAAAGTTGGTGCAGTTGGCGTCCCCTATACTAGAGCAATTGATAATTGTTGGAATAGTGCAATGTCCTACTTAGGATATGCATACTCTGCATATTCTTGATCTTTAAAGTAAAATATTATTGATGCTCATTTACATTTTAATTCAGATGTTGGCCCCTGCATTATTTATTTTATAATTATTTGACTCATTCTGCTTATAATTTTTAAACCTACCAGAAAGACAATAAGAAAAAAATGAACAAATAAGCAATACAAAAAATGCAGACATTTTAGAATCAGCTAAGAATTCTCTTATGCACTTAATAGAGGAGAAAGTTGTGGAATTGGATAAAAGATGTTTTCTACTGTGCCAGCACCAATATTCTGAGCCACCAGTTCACTAACATTATTATGAATGTTTTGTCATTAATGAGATTATGCTTTTGTAATTCTGTTTGTGCATTTTGGGTCTCAAATTTGTACTTTAATGGAGCTTGATGTCAAATTTATAATTCTTTACTAAATCTAATATATTTTTGTTTGCAAAGCATTCTCATTCTGGCATGCGGTTTTTGTTTTAACAGAAGGCGAGTATATCAAGATGTTCATGCGGGGACGGCCCATCACAATGTTTCTTCCTTCAGATGTTGACAAATATTACGAAATCAAGACAGAGCTGCCCCCTGAGAAATTAAAACTGGAGTGGGTGTATCCTTATTGCACAAGGAAAACACTTTATATTTTTAATAGTTTGCTTTTCCTTCTTCTCTTTAAAATCTAACTTCCAATTTTGCCTTATTTTAAGCTTTTCTTAATTTGATAAAAATTAATAAATTATCTCTTAGGGAGAAAAAAATACTGTTGTCTTCTGTAACTCCTTGGATGTGAGTTTCCTTGCAGCAACCAATCACCAACTCAATTACTCCTTTTGTTTTTTAAAAAATAGTTTCACAAAGACATTTCCCATAGTTACTTTAGAGCCCTATATTTCTTCCTGCTGTTAAGCGCTGGATTACCATCAGTTATAAAGATAGCAGTTGCCTTCTTGGATCAGGGAGGTGTCTGTTGTTTGTTATTTTGAGGTCTACTTTTCCTTGTGTGTAATTTTTGCATGCCATCAGAATGTCAAACCAAAGCCATATACAAACTACATTTTCATTAATAGAATAGAATAGAATAGAACAGAACAGAATAGAATTCTTTATTGGCCAAGTGTGATTGGACACACAAGGAATTTGTCTTGATGGATATTCTCTCAGTGTGTATAAAAGAAAAGATATATTCATCAAGAGTCATGAATCATAAGGTATAACTCTTAATAATAATCATAGGATACAATCATCTAAATCATGGGTGTCAAACTTGATTTCATTAAGGGCCACATCAGGGTTGTGTTTGATCTCAGAGGGCTGGGGTAGGTGTGGCCAGCGTGATGTCACTTGTGTTGAGGGGCACCTGTGGTGGTCCAAGCGCTCTGCCAGCGAAAACAGACCTCCAAGCTCCATTTCAGCTGTGACGGCCTCCTGTAACCCTCTGCCAGCGAAAATGGAGCTTGGGAGTGCCACCCTCAGCCCTTGTGAGCTCCATTTTTGGCTGTGATGGCCTCCTGCAACCCTCTGCCAGCGAAAAGGGAGGTCAGGAGGGCCGCACAGAGCCCTCCCTAACTCTGTTATTTATTTATTTATTTATTTATTTTGTCAAGCAAGTATTAGATAGATAAGTATAAACATGATTATGAATTCATGAAATGGATACGAATAAAAAGGAACATTAGGACTGGTTACTTTGCTGGTAGAGGCACCGCAGGTCGGTCCTTTGCTATTTCCAGGGCGGCCCTGTGGGTCAGATCTAAGCACTCTGTGGGCTGGATCTGGCTTCCGAGCCTTGAGTTTGACACCCCTGATCTAAACCATTAAACCATTGAACATCATTACTCATCTACAATCTCAGAAAAGGTGTATTTATTTATTTTATTTGTCAAAAGCTTACAATATAACAGAAATAAGAATAAACATAAGTTTAAATACAAGAAATAGGAACTAATAATTGAGGACAATAGGACAAGGACGGTAGGCACGATTGTGCGCTTATGCAAGCCCCTTACAGACCTCTTAGGAATGAGGTGAAGTCAATAGAGGTTATTTTGAGGGTAAAGGAGTGGGGGTTTGAGCAGGTAACAAGAGAATCAAGTAGTGAGTTCCAGACATTAACCACTCTGTTGCTGAAATACTACCTGCAATCGAGTTTGGAGTGGTTTACATTTAGTTTATATCTGTTATGCGCTGTAGTGTTGTTGTTAAAGCTGAAATATTCATTAACTGGTAATACGTTGTAACATAAAAATTTACATACTATGCTTAAGTCTAATCTTAGTTGGCATAGTTCAAGGTTGTCTAAGCCTAGAATCTCAAGTCTGGTGCTATAGGGTATTCTGTTGTGAATAGAGGAATGTAGTACTTTTCTGGTAAAATACTTCTGGACTCGCTCAATTGTATTTATGTGATAAATACAGATGCAGCATGCAGGAAGAAAATACTTAATGTGAAGACCACCCGATGAGTTTGAAAGATCAGAATAGCAAAATGAATGGTATCATAATTTTTAATGTTACAGAAAGAAAACTGTTTTACAGTGGATCTCAGACTATCATCCCATTTTAATGGTGACTCATGTGGAAGTAGGAAAACTAGACTGCCTTTCAGATAAATACTGTACATACTTGTAGGGACACAAATATGTGAATGCAGCATTGATACATTTTTAATTGGGTAACAAGCAGTACTATAAACTGAATATAAACTCAGTTTCTTCATATAAGTTACTTTTTCAGCAAGGCTGTCCACAGGATACATGAAAAAGTGGGGAAAATTGACAAAAGCACTACCACAATACAGGCTCCACCTCTTTTGCATTGTGATGTAACATACTTTTATCGAAGGTGCAGAACTTACAGAGGAACTGTATTTTTCATTATTTTGAAGGAAACAGACTTATGAATGCTTCTGCTGCTGTAAAGAGAGGCAGAGCTAGTGAAGGAATACAAAGTTATCAACAAAATAGATAATACATGAAATCTGGGGAAAAGATAAAAGATTCAGAATAATCAACACGATTCTGTGTGGTATAACGTAGTATAGTGGAACATTTTGGCAGGCTTTCACAATTCTATAATACACTGCAACAATAGAGTTCTAATAGTCCTTACATTGACTATATTCCCTTACATATCTGACTTATCTTGTGGGGCTGACATCCTTTCAGTTCATGACTATCAGTTTTGGCTAGGCTGATTTGCTGTTAAATATCTTGTAGATCAGTGATCCCCAACCTTTGCGGCTTGTTGGCCTGGCTTGTGGGGAGAGGAGAGTTGAATGTGCACATGCCTGCATGCCGGCCCATAGCTCAGGCAGCCGATCTGTGGCCCCGTAGTTTTGTCATATATTTGTTTTAAGACTTCATTATCACAAAGTGTGGCATAACATTAAACATGGTAAATAAAAACATCAAGGCAGCATGTACCTACTAGCATACTAATTATGTTTGGTATTTCAGATTTTGACTATTGAATTATTCTATTTCAAATATAAATTTAAAATTAACTTTCTTCTATTGAAACCCTGAAGGTCATAATCAGTATTCTAATGTCTTTCCCCTTAAGACAAATTTATGAAATTTTTGAACATTACTTTTAGAGGGGCTTGTAAAACTAATATAGTTTAAGGTCTGCAACATCAGGAAATCTTGCTGACATATATTCTGGAATAGAATAGAATGGAACAGAACAGAATAGAATTCTTTATTGGCCAAGTGTGATTGGACACACAAGAAATTTGTCTTGGTGGATATTCTCTCAGTGTATATAAAAGAAAAGATACATTCGTCAAGAGTCAAGAATCATAAGGTATAACACTTAATAATAGTCATAGAATACATTCATCTAAATCAGGGGTTTCGAACTTGATTTCATTGAGGGACGCATCAGGGTTGTGTTTGATCTTGGTGCATATGCTCTCAGTGCTGAAAAATGGATTAAGTTACATAATGAAAAGTCCATTATTTTGGTTTATAGATGGACATGTTTTTATAATAGTCTCCTATCTCTTACTATAGAGTCAGAGATATTTTCTCCATCTAAAGAGCCATTTTCTCCCCATAAAGTATATAATCTTTATTAATTACATTCTACATTTTTGGGGCAATATATAAAAAACAATATGTAGATATAATAAATGTAAATACCAAACATAAGATCTAAACAATACAAAAATTTTTAAAAGATGAATTTCAAAAGATAAATTCATAAATTCAGATGAATTTATGTCAGCGAGAATGCAAAAATGATTTCATAAATACTAAAAACTGAATTGAATTGTGCAGCTGTCAGACAAGCTTGAAAAAATATATCAGTCTTGTGAAATGATAAATTTCAGTTAGAAGTTTCAGTGGGACTTTCAATTGTCTTTCAATTGACTTTCAAATGGCAGATTCAGATGTCAATGTGGACTCCAAACAAGTCTCTTAGGCACAAAATTCCAAGGAGTGGAGTAGAAGGGCATGTCAAATTCTTAAGACTATATAGGCAACATATGAGAGAAACATTACCATAAATGTTTATAGCACAAGCTTCCATCATTAATGCTGATTCATTTTGAAAAACCTTGACATTAAAAAAAAAGATATGGTTATCGTGGCAGGGACTGTCGAGCTAATGTTTACCTATTACCTACTGGAGAAATAGTATATTTCATAGCATCTGTGGTAATACTGTTTAATTATGAAGAGCGGACTCAGCGTCATTACTTGGGTCATACGGATTGTGTTAAATGGTTAGTATATGCTTCCATTATTCATGCTTCAGTTACTGTTAAAGAGATAGTTTCATGCTATTTGCCATGTGCCTGGTTTCCAACATCCAATATGCAAATGTGCCAAGAACAATGATGAAGACACTCATGTACCATGTGTAAAATCATGTGGTTTCTTCCAGAATTAAGAGGCAGTCTTTTTCATATTTAATTTTATTGAAGAATTTACCAGTCCTATGTTATTGTTTCAGCTGTTCCTTGGTAATAGCTACTTAAACTAGTATAATCTGCACTCTCTCCATATTGCCTCAGCATTAATAAGTGATTAAGTTATGAATTTGTATACCTAATTAAGTTTTAAATCTTTTTCCACTATCTGAACAATCCCTAGTTTTAATACGCTCCTTAGAAAATAGTGGTGTAGTAAATATAAAATATAAATATTTTCAGGTAGTTGAAATCAAAATATTGGTGTAACATTTCTATCAGTTATAAATTTTTGATTTTGAAAGAGAAAAATGTGAAGGCCTTGATTGTGCCCATGTGCTGATTGTGGATCACATGAACAAGATGATATAAGTCCATCAGGGTGGCACAAAACAAGTCCTGTTTAACATTTCGAATACAGTAGTCTGGATTCATAAACAGTATGCTGCTATTTCCCTAAAATATACATGGACATATACTGACAGATACTTTCCCCCAATTTCAGATAGGTAGTTAGAGTGAAAGAATGTAGTGTTTCTAATAAGATTATTTCTTCTAGCCTTGCAGTTCATCCAGACAAAATCAGGATAGCAACTGGACAGCTAGCTGGAGTGGATAAAGATGGAAGAGTAAGTTTTTAATGATTTTAAAGCACTATAAAGCGGTATATAAATCTAAGTGCTATTGCTATTTATCTCAATAGTTGGTTTCTGATTCTGGAAAGAGTCTTGGGAATTTTTCATTTTTACTATTACATTTGTCTGATGAATAATTCAAAGGTATAATTTGTGCATGTTATCTTAAATTGCATTATGCAATGTGTATTTCCCAAAAAAGTCTCCAGTTGACCACATAAATCTTGAAAAGTTTATTTTAGCCAGACTTCTTCTGTACCTGCTTGTCTTATGCCATTTTTAAAGGAAGATGTGCAATGGGAAGAAAAACATGAAAAATCTCTATGATATGAATGAATTTCACATTGCATAGATCTGAATTACTGTCTATTTTTTCAATAAATGTCCTTAATCTAAATGCTGAGGTATTACTGCTTAACTATATCTTTCCTTACTTGTATTATTTAAAACATTTCAGTACTTTTTGATGTGTTTATGGCTCAGTGATAGTTGGAAGCTGCAGCTTCATTTATCTGCAGATTCATTTATCTGAGACATTTTAGACTAGATATGGATAAGATTATTGTCTTTATACAAATCAATATCTGCTTACTGGAAAGGCCTCTTTTTATCTTTTCGGTAATCACCTGTTTCAAATTATTTTTACTTACAGCCTTTGCAGCCCCATGTTAGAGTATGGGATTCAGTGAGCCTAATGACTCTACAGGTTATTGGCCTTGGGACTTTTGAACGTGGAGTGGGATGTCTGGATTTTTCGAAAGCAGTAAGGAAAATGTCATGCCTTTGTTTAACAAACAATGCATTATGTGTGCAGCTGAGTGTGTCTATATAAATAGTTGTGAATATTTTGCTCACCTATTTTAACATTGCATCTAGCAGAGCTATTCCCAGTCTGATATCTTCCTGTGTAGACACTAATGAAGCTATGGATATTTATTTATACAAGGAGCTCTCTTCTTGAAGTCAATTTTCTGGTATTTCCAGTGCCAGTGTATCTCATTCTTTTTTATACTTGGTTTGTATCCATTATTTTCCTATTTACTCATTAGCAATGATTGTTCCAAGAAATTGTAGTTTTAGGAACAAAGCTGCCTCCAACAGTTACTGGTAGTATTGCAATTAGAGCTGCCTTAAAGAGTTGCAGTCAAGTGTCTGATTTCACCCCACACACTGTGAGCCATCTTTTTGGAATTGGTAGCAAAACTAGTCATTACTGGATTATAACAGAATGTCATGGATCAGGCAAATAAACTAAATTTTATTTCTGACTTAACTAGATATTTTATATGAATAATCCAATAATAAACTACAGTGGTAACTATAGATATATGAATAAATAGCCATTTAGAGTTGCAAGCATAGAAGGCATATAAATGAATAGATAAATAAATGATGCTATATAATCTGACTGCCTAGAACAGAGTATTACTGGTTCTTAATTTCAGTCTGTTTGATCTACAATAAAAAATGATAAAACTGTTGACATTCAACAGTTTCGAGAATCCCAAGCTTACTCCTCTCTAGTGAATAGAAAATTATTGCTCAGGGAAGGGAATATAACTGAAAGTAATACCAATATGGCAATATAGCTTAATGTGATATATTTACTTTACCATCTATAGAAAGCTTTCTGTCCTATAAGAAATCTATTCTTAGCAAGCCCTGATACAAAAGTTTAATTTAAGTTCTGAAGCTGATTTAAATGTTGACACATAGAAAAAAACAACTTTGTTTTGCCTTTTTGCCCTTTTACAATTATTAAGTATGCTGTTCCTTGAAATAATACCCTTCTATTATAGTAGTGCTTATAGTATAAAAATTGCAATAATAAATAATAAGTAATAGATAAATAGTTACAAGTCTCATTAATTAGAATCATAATTAGCATTTCATATAATATAACTTTATGAAATTTATTTTATCTGTCATGAGTAATTATCTTGGTTTATTTTTGTGCCATTTTATTGGAGTGTTACTTGTAGAACTTACAATTTGGCCACAGTAGACAGTATTCTCTAAGGAGAAGCAGAAACAAAAAATAGCTACTATTTACTATTTTAGTAAATGTATGAAGCCCTGCAAATTGATGTTTTGAGGTTATAACATATTTACAAGGTTTCTGACTAAGATATATGTTATTTATTAAAAGCCAAGATAAGAAAAAAATGTGGATGGCAGTAAAAACAACGAAAAGGTTGAAAAAACCATGTACAGGCATTTGAGCTGAATTTTCTCATATGCTATGTTGTTCATATGCCCAAAAATATTTTTTCATCTTTTCTATCAAATATATACCATCATAGTGTTTAAAAGTTGAGCATTAGTTTTAAGGAAAGAAACTCACTTAATTCAGTTTCCACTTACTAATTTTGTCTTTTTTATTCCCTTTATACAATATGAGTATTTTTATAGGAAAAGGGAAAAAGAGCATTTAAGCGGTGATTTTTTTAATTATGTATTTTCAAATGTCATGCTGGAATTTATTGACACAAATGCATTATTTCATTTGCTATTTTTCACTTTTACTAGTTTAATGCAGAAAAGGAGAAGGGAAGGGAAGGGAAGGGAGGGAGGGAGGGAGGGAGGGAGGAAGGAAGGAAGGAAGGAAGGAAGGAAGGAAGGAAGGAAGGAAGGAAGATAGATAAATCATTCTTACAGTTTTATATGAGCATTTCATATTATTATCCATTCCTAATCTACATTGCCAATAATTGCACAATTATGTTTTATTGAATTGATAAAATCTGTGGAAGTTTTTGGCACTTATACTTTATCATTGATTTATCATTTGTTTATCACTGACTGTACAGACTGTCTCAATTACCTAATAGTTAATAGTTCTTAATAGTTCACTCTAATTCTTTATTCCATTCAGTTGTTAAATCTGCATTTCAAATGTAAATGATCAACTGCATTTTATAAAGAACTTTAGGCATTAGAGTAATATAAAAAAAGAATGATTTTCTCATGCTATATTGTTTCTACTTCTAGTTGAAGAATTTTACAAATCATTGCCTAGCAAGGAAAGTTTGGTTTAACCCATCATGAAACAATTCTAAAACACATAGATAGCAATTCATATTAAAGTCTGTATAAACCCAATCTTAATGCAAAGCCACTTGATTTAGGTATTTGCATATGCATGGCGCATACTTTGTTTGTTACCTATACTAATAATACTAGTATTCCAAGGAACTATGACTGAAACAAAAGCTGCATCAACATTCACTTTTAGGTGAGAGTCAAATTTAAAAATAAAGCTGACTAAAAAATGACTTCATCTGGCTTATGTATTTTATCTTTATGCATAAAAAATGAGGTTGAAAACTATTGCATTCTTAAACATATGAGGACATTATATAACAGGATGACGTGAATTTTATTATCAAAACTTCTTTGCAAGGATTCGGGTACACATTTGTGTGTGATTGATGATTCTAATGAACACATGCTGACTGTTTGGGACTGGCAGAAGAAATCAAAAGTAGCAGAGATAAAGGTAAATAATGCTTAGATGTATTAATCAAAGTTGCCAAAGTGTATTGAATCTGCTTGGTAATACCTTATTGGAAATTTGAAAAATTTCAAAACAAATAGTTGCTATGTGAATAATGTTAAGTTCAATTATTCCTCTTGGTAATTTTTCTAATTTTTCAGAGAGGAATGTACAGTTTTGTATTGTGGCTAAAGCAAGAAACGATGCCTTCGGTATGTATCACTCCAGTGATACAATTACTCAACTTATAGCATATCTCCACTCCACTAAATGAATTTGTCAATTGGACCAAATAGCTTTCTGTCAACAGAGTTAGAAGACATCAATTGGATACACCCAATAACCTATAGATTTAAAACAGTATAAGCATTCTTGGAAAACTTCCATCAAATGCCTGAAGTGTTTTTATTTTTATTTATTTATTAATCATATGTATATAGCTGCCCAACTGACCAAAGACAATTTTGGACAGTGTCCAACAGACTTAGTTAATTTAGTTTTTTAAGTTAATAGGAAAAAGCATTTGTGAGAAAAAGACATGATAAAGAAATGAAATTAAAAAATACAAACTGTGGCTTCTATTCATGAATCAAAATAATGGAATGTATTCTCTGTTAGACTGCTGCGAGAGTCCAGCTCAGGGTAGACTCCGCCTCCTTTGTAATGGGACTGAGTCTGTCAAGCAGTTAGCCTTGCTTCCGTTGCCATGGTTACCCAGCTTTCGACTCAGTCCCTCATCAGAGTTAGTCATGTTTTCACTACCTCTCTTATTTGAGAGCTTGAGAATCATGTGTTTGGCAAGCTGACTTTGTTTAAACAGCAAGAAAGTTTGAATTACGCTCCAAGGGCCAGCGATGCTGCGAGGGATGGGGAGGGCTCTTACCCCCTCCTGTGTGATTCCAGGGCCGGGAATTTCTCCTGGCACTGAGAGCACTCAAGCGGCCATCAACAGATCATGAGAGATTGCAGAGAGTGGGCAGGGTAGCGATTGCCTCCAGCCAGGCCAATTCCTCTCTTTTAAGCTTTCAGATTATTCCTGCGCTGCCAAAAGAAACCCCTTGCAATCTGCGCTGAACAGCTGATAGGGGCTAACGGCTTGGCATGGTAGACCGGTCTCCCGACTGTCTAAAAGGCCTCACAGCACGATGTCGTTTTGCCTGGTCTTTGAAGGGAAGACAAAGTCGTCAGAGACTAGAGACCTTATTAGACAGGATAATGGAAGGGGAATCAGGTCGTGGAGAGGCCCTTTCCCCCACTGCAGTGAAGGCTTCTTCTAGGGCTAAAAAGAAGTCCAAAAGACACTCATCAGTGTAAGGGGCAGTGGCCAGAATCAAAGCCAAGGCAAATTAGCAAATCTGCTTCCTTATTGTGTCTTGTGTTTCTGTGTACATAAGCGTTTCTCCAGTTACTTATAAGAACCAAAACAACTCCTTTTTTTCTTTTAAAAGACTACAAATGAAGTTGTCCTGGCAGTAGCTTTCCATCCAACTGATAAAGATACAATAATAACATCTGGCAAATCTCATATCTTTTTCTGGACGTGGAATACAAATTCATTAACAAGGAAACAAGGAATATTTGGGGTAAGAATCTTTATATTGGGCAAATTTCCTGAAGTTGTAAATTAGAATTTTTGAAAGTACATTGATTACATTATATTCTTCCCAAAAAGGCCTTAGGGGGACTCTTCTTCGTAATAATTCTTACTTAGAAAATAGGAGATTTAATAGCATGTAATGTTTTTGTGTGTGTGTGTGTGTATAGTATGTATGTATACATGTATGTGTGTGTGTTTGTGTATATAGCAAAAGCAATAGCACTTCGACTTATATACCACTTTATAGTGCTTTATAGCCCTCTCTAAGTGATTAACAGAGTCAGCATATTGCCCCCAACAATTTGGGTCCTCATTTTACTCACCTCGGAAGGATGGAAGGCTGAGTCAACCTTGAGCCTGGTGAGATTCAGTCTTGCCAAATTGCAGGCAGACGGCTGTCAGCAGAGGTAGCCTGCAGTACTGCACTCTAATCACGGCACCACCAAGGCTCTTGGTGTATGTATATGGGTATATACACCTTCATCCAGATAGATAGATATAGAGATATAGACACACATAAATATATTCATATGTATGTTAACATGTTCTAATAAGACAGTGTACCAAGCCCAAGCCCAGTAAACCTGTTTGAATTGAGATTATATGCATATATAGTTCACACAGAAAGCCCTAAATATATTCTCTTGTTTTTCAGAAATATGACAAACCCAAATTTGTTCAGTGCTTAGCATTTTTAGGCAATGGAGAAGTTCTCACTGGTGATTCAGGTGGGATATTGCTTATATGGAGCAAAACTACTGTAGAAGGCACATTAGGAAAAGGATCAAAAGGTATCACACTTATTCTTTACAGATTTATCTATATCATGAAAATATATTTCAAGTTTAATAAAAATACAATAGATATTGGAGATCAAATGATATTTGTATGTTTCTGAGAATGCAGATAGCCTATGTTTTCAACAAAAGTATTGATGTAATACTATACTATACTAAATTCTATCAGTGTTTAACTTTTCATGGCTAGTTTTTCAGTTGAATGTACATGAAAAGTCATCAAAAAAGAATTTTAAACCCCTGCTGAACATTTTAGATTAATTTTGTTTCAAGTTATAAATTTCTCAGCAAACTTTTCTAGTTTTAATATCTAGAACAAACTGAAATATGATTGAGGAATATTTTAGAATCAGGGTAGATAAAAAGAACAGTCTAGAATTAGTTTAAAAACTTGCTGCCAAAAACTGCGGCTACAATCTGCAACTACAGGTTACTACATTACTGTCTGTTTCTAATGGTGTTTACATGCTAGTTTCAAATCTAGAAATTCTGAAGTTGTTCTTTGCCATTGAATATTTGTTGCTGGGAAGTAATACATATTTAAAAAGACAGGTGATACAACAGTAAACTGTTGCCTTCTTGTTTGTGGACTTCCTGACTGCATTTTATTTTGAATGCTATTAGAATCTTTGATTAGTTATATCATCAGTCTTTTCTAATATGGCTATTCATAATTATCAACTCATGAAAAATATAAATAGATATAAATAGATTATACAACTTGCTATTATAGCTGATCAGGACTTAGAATAAGAAATGTGCCTGAGCAATGCAGTATTTCTAACTTATGAACCATAACAGTGGATAAAATATTTTCATAGAATGCTGTTTCTTCTGAGCTTGGTGGTTTTATGCAAACATTTCATTACCCAAACTAGGCAACATCATCAGTGCTAGTAAGACGTGGTATTTGCTTTCAGTTTATATTCTACTGACTTGCAAAGACTCTTCATTTTAAACCCGAGCTACAAATATTCTCCTTTATCAATATTAATTTTCATATGAATAAACTTTTGAAAGAAAGAGAAAAATATAATGTAGAATTTCAGCAATACTTAACCTGGCCAATCATCAACTACTGTAACCAAACCTTGTTTTAATTTTAATGTTCTGACTTTTAAGTTAAATATGCTTTAGAGGTTATATTTCATTTCAATTAATTTTTTTTAGAAAACAATTATTACTAGCAACCAGGAAAATGCATGTCTGGCACTGCTGAGCTCTAAGGTAGTTCTTAAATCCAAAGATAATTATTTTCTTTGGCAGCTAATTTAAATGCTGGACTGTACATAGGCATGCCAGAAAAAACAGTTTCAGTACATGACATTTTACCTGCAAGTGTATATTTTCAGTGAACTTTGTTTCTAAAGAAAATATTAATGTAAAAGCATAATTATGCCATGGATAGTGCATTTAATATTATAATAACTGAAAAACAAATAATACATTATTATATACAGCAATTTTTTTATAATTAAAACAATATTTAAATAGATCCAGGTTTTGTTGAGTTGGTCTTTTTATGAATTTACCATGGGGTTAATAAAGATTTGGTCTTGGTAAGGCCAAATGGTAAGTATGTCTCACTGCATACATCTAGAAAAAAACTGCATATCTTTGTAAAATAGTCTAAATGAAGTATACATTTTGCGCTTTACTTGGATTTTTACACCAAATTTTGAAGTTAAGCATACATTTGCTTTTTAATTTGTGTTCTAGAATGAATGATAACTGATTTACTATGACTAGTAGATGACCTTTTAAGTATTAATCTTAAAGTTTAATAATGTTACTCAGACATTTCTAAATATAAATATGTATACAAAACATTATATGCAAAGCCTTTATGCACTAATTCTTTTTGTATCTCACACTTAATTCCATTTCAACCAGCACATTTGTTGATGGTCTATATAGATGTTACAATTAGAAGTTTGTTAGATATAAACACTGAAAAGGAAAACTTGGATGAGATAATTCAGACCAAATATTTATTTTAATCAAAATTGGTTAATAGTATATGATTAGTGACTCAAATCCAAAATTAATCTGGATGTTAAGTTAGATATAAAGTAAGTGTGTCCAAAATTTGGAGCTTTAAATTACTTATATGGGTACTATAGAAGTCAGTAGTAATTTATTTTATTTTTTAAAAACAAAATTATAAATCTCTACATTAACAGCATTCGTGTTGTTATTAATACATATATCTCCATTTATACCTAAATATCAATTCTTATTTCTATCTTCCACCCATTTGTACCACCTATCCCAAACCACATAGTAGTCCGAATAATCTGCCTTTTAATTCCGCTGTGAATTTATCCATTTCCGCACAGTCCATTATTTTTTGTATCAGGTCTTCTTCAGATGGTATCTTTTCCTTTTTCCATCCCTGTGCGAAGGCTTTTCTCACCACCATTATAATATGTATAATGATGTATCAGATAACCTTGTTAAATTTTCCCTTAATTATTCCTAGTAAAAATATTTCCAGTTTGAGTTCTAATTTATGTTCTGCAATTTCTAATAGCCATCTTTGTACACTTCCAACATTCTGCTTTTGTATTTGGATACATTTCAGCCAGTCTTGCTGGAGCTAGATGCCATCTACAAAACATTTTGTACTGATTTTCTTTAAATGCTGTTGACAATGTCAGTTTACAGTTACTAATCCGCATTTTTTCCCAATCCTCTAAATTTATATTGTGACCTACGTTTTTTGCCCAGGCAATCATTGACCCCTTTACTATTTCTTCTTCTAGTTCCACTTCCAATAAATAATTATACATTCTTATTATAAATTTTACCTCCTTGCCTGTCAAAATTTGGTCCAGTGGTTGCAAATTCTTTTCTATCCCTTATTCTTCTAAATCTTTTCTAAATTTTGTCTGAATTTGTAAGTATGACCACCAATCTATAATGATATCTTGTTCTTTTAACTTGTCAATTGTTTTTAGATTCCCCTGATTATCTAATAATTCTTCATATCTAATCATTTTTTTGTATCCCTTATATTTGGATATAGTATTGCTTCCATAGGTGAAGCCCAATTTGGTATTTTCATATAATTTTTTTTTACCTTTTCCCAAGTTTGTAATAGTGATTCCCTTATTAAATGTCTGTGAAAGTATGAATGAGTCTTGTTTTTTCTAATCTCATAGAAAGGCATGCCACCCTGCTTGAAGGTCGTGGCCCTCAATTGCTAAGATTCTTTTATTTTTTAAATTTATCCACTCCTTTACCCATAATAGAACTGCTGCTTGGTAATATAATTCCCATTTTGGAAGTCCAAGGCCACCTCTACTTCTACTATCTTGTAACATCTTTAAACTTATTTGTGCTTTTTTACCCAACCATATAAATTTTGCAACTATTTTATTCAGTTCCTGAAAAAAATTCTTATCCAATTTTATAGGAATTGTCTGAAAAATAATATGGTACTTTCAGTAGAATATTCATTTTTAACGCTGCTATCCGTCGAGAAAAAAAAATGAAGAAAAAAAGTCAGTAGTAATTTATGGCTATAAAACTTCAGTTCCTTTTCTTTTCAAGTACATAGGTTGGGAATATATGTGAAAAGGCTCTAAGGGAGCTAACAGCAAAAGAAGTTAACTCCATCTCTTCCGTCTAGAGGGCAGGACACAAAACTTCTTCCTATGTTGTAGAGAAAATGTCTTCTCTTCCTTTTCAGATTTTACTTGATCTATGGAGCAAAGTCCTCCAGAGACAGCAGAAGCTAAGCACCATTCCTGACAGGAAGTGGTGAACTACAGCATTGGCATCAAGCTTGAGTACATTAAAGCCAAACTGAGAACTTCTATACACACACACACACACACACACACACACACACACACGTAATTAGGTTGACACCAGCTCCTGCAATTTTCTGATAACTCAAAGAGCAAAACATCACATGGCGTTATCAGCTATAGCCCTCGGATGGCAGGGTACATCGATCCAATGAACCTGAATTTGGGTGGACTCCCAAATATAGTGGAGGATGGGGCAGAGGGCTAATGTGCTGTGATTATGGGGTCGCAAAAAATTGGGCACAACTTAGCGACTGAACAATAATTTAACTCTTTCCTATTGATTCCTTCTTTGATGACCAAGAATATAGTTGAATTAACTGTGAAGTATGTTTTTGATCACGTAAAGATCTTATAGTTACCATGTAGAAGAGGGTAAAACCAGTGCAGGGAATTCAAATGACCAAGGATAAGTTTTCTAAATACTTTCCTGTGGTTTATGAATTATTGAGTATCGTTCTTCCGTTTCTTTTTATTCTTGCAATTGGCTATTTCCTTTTTGTTAAGTTGAATTAACAATAAAGATGTTGAGTTACATTCTTCACTAGTTAGTTTTTACAGGTATTGGATGGGATATCTTTCACAAGTTAAGATCAGGGGTTGCCGTTTACCAAAAAAAGGTAAATTCCTCTTAGGTCCATCTTTTAGTAATCAGAAACATCCAACTATGTTTTTAAATGTTTTTCTTAAGTAAATGTAAGCATGTCTGAAGAATTATTATTATTATTTATTAAAATGTATTATAGCCGCTCTGTCCAGAAGAAATTTCACATTTTTAAAAACTTTCTTTAGACTTCTAACTAACAGAAGTAGGCATCAGTAGCTCAATTTTCATTTTCTTTTTTTAATTTACACATATATATCAATCTCCTGATTCTTTCACCTTCTATTAAAAATTAGTCATCAAATTTAATTTTTAATGTAAGGAGACTGTCATGTAGCAGTTATTCAGATGTAGTTTGACCAGACTGAAGAAGTGCTACCTTTGTTCAACTTGAAATTCTACCCTCCTTCAGACATCTCTTATTGATACATGTAGCACTAATTATTTCTTATTTATCTAAATAATATTTTAAGCTGGTTGGCAAATATGCCCTATTGGCACTGTACTGTTTCTTACATGATTACAGGTGTGTATCAAATCAGCAAACAAATCAAAGCTCATGATGGCAGTGTGTTCACACTCTGTCAAATGAGGAATGGAATGCTGCTAACTGGAGGTGGGAAGGATAGAAAAATCATTTTGTGGGATCATGACTTGAATGCTGAAAGGGAAATAGAGGTAAGAAAAATAACTGGTGAACAAATAATGGGAAACTGCTTTTGAGCTGAGATGAAGGAAGCTGAAGAGCAGGCATTAATTAAGATTACAAAAGTACCATTCCATCAATTTCTCTCATTTTTATTATTTATGTCATTACAGTAATGATTTTTATCCTCCTTCAGAGAAGCTTAAAAAAACCTTAGAAGATCTGTCTCTTCTCTTCATAGCTTTATTCTCTTTATAGGTTAAGATTAGAACATTCCTCTTCTGCAGGAATCTGGGATAAATTGCCATCTCATTAGTATAGGAAAATATTGCTTTCAGTATTAACTTACATATGGGACACAATAATAGTTGTGTTCTTTTGCATTAATTTTAGGTAATGAAATTAGGTAATTTATTAGGTATAATAACTTGACATTTTACCTATACAGAGAGCAAAACAAACAATATGGATTTGTTTAAAGTTTTGTAATCTGTATGGAAAGATCTCTTGTGCTTTCTTACAGTTATTGTCCAACTCAAAAAACAAAACAAAATGAAAACAAGTTGTGAGACAGCAAGCAAAAAAACAGTAAAACCCAATAATTATAGTCTACAAATCGTAAAACAGAATATAGTCATGTTAAGAAAAATAAAATCATACCTTAAAATTCTAAATAGTACAGGACATCATTTTTGAAAATCCCCTTATTTGACATTAATAACTGTCAGATATTGTATATTAAAGATATTTTACTTTGAATTTAGCAAAAATGCAGTTTATTTTATTACAGTGATCGCTGTAGGTGTTTTAACTGCAATTAAAGGGAAAAGGAAATAATTTCAAAACAGTTATTTTAAAAAGATGGCCAATAAAATTAGTAAGTAGATGCCAATTTGATATATGTAGTCAGCTAGTGAGGTAGCTTTTACTAGCTGCAATGATAGTTAGCATTATTTTGTGCTTGTAGTAGTGAAATTTGAAACTAAGTTCCATCTTCCCTGAAATAAGACTGGATTGGAAACAGTGATTGTAACAGGGAAAGAACAACGTCAAAACATTATTTTTTAAAAATGCATATTTATCAATCAAATCATATAATATACATCACATATCTTTGAAAAGAGAAGGAGAGAGATTAAAATAAAAAAAGTATTAAAAGGATGATGAAGGAAACATTGAATCTATTTGAGATTTGTTTGCACAAAGAAAGATGATTGTGACCTTCAGTATTTTAGAGTATTATTATGCTTTGTAATCTATAAAATGGATTTCAAGGAAATATGATTTCCATAGGTTCCTGATCAGTATGGGACAATAAGAGCTGTAGCAGAAGGCAAAGCTGATCAATTTATTCTTGGGACATCAAGGAATTTCATTTTGCGTGGAACATTTAATGATGGTTTTCAAGTGGAAGTACAGGTATGTCCCTTTCTTCTCTTTAAATTTATAGATGTTTGATATATTTTGTTTGCTATATAATTATGGATATCTGCCCATTTATTAACCTTGTGTTTTTAGGGCCACACAGATGAACTCTGGGGCCTGGGAACACATCCATTCAAAGACTTGTTCTTAACTTGTGCTCAAGATCGTCAAGTTTGTATGTGGAATTCAGTGGACCACACTCTTGAATGGACCAGGCTACTAGATGTATGTGCCTCATGCTTTGTGAGAATACTAGGCATAGTTATGGGGTATTTTCTAAATAGATATTCTATGTTAAGAGAAAATTAAACAATAGGGTTGTTGTTTTTTGCAACAACAGCATCATTTCCGTTTTTTAAAAAAAACTTTGATTTAATATATCTTATTGTACATAGAAAGCAAGGAGCTGAAAATGTCCTGTTCCTCCTTAACATCACTGCATCATTACCATGTCACTACAGTTTTTGGAACAAAAACGAAGTATTAAATGCAGCCTCAGGCTGAAAAAGGTTGCCCATCTCTGGTCTATCAGTCAGAAATAAAGTATAAGCTTTGCATGGAAGGTCATTCTTTGGAATCTTAGGTTCAAAAGATTTAACAGTGGGGGATGGCCACAATTTATGTCTGAAGAACCACAGGGGAGTGGGAATGAATAATTCCTTTGGTCTTTTTAGCTGCCAGCTGGTCTAGCTGGAAAAACCTGCTGAGAATGATTCTGTAATGATGCAAAATGTCTCTTAGAGTAATCAGTTAGTTATTTAAACTGAAGATGAATGGCAATGTTTTACTAAATTATTAGATAAGTAAAAACAATGCTATTAAAATGGTTCATAGTTGCCTTGGCATTGATCCCTAAATTAGTTTTAGTAAATTTTGATGTGATCTTCAGATTGCATAGATTTAGTTTAAGCTCATGAGGTTAAAATCAGTATAGTATAATGGGTGGCATATGTTCCACATATGTGGAGTATTTTCAAAGCATGTGCCTTCATAAACTGGAACTCCTATTCGCTCCTATTTACTTCTCTTAATCCAGGTGAGACAGGCCAGTGAATAATTGCCTGTGTATATATTATTCAATTTAAACTTACATCATAAGATCAACATGTGTCTTTCAGGAACCAGGACATTGTGCTGACTTCCATCCAAGCGGTACAGTGGTAGCGATAGGAACTCACTCAGGAAGGTAAAAATGCTGTAATGCTTTTATTCAAATATAATCCTCTGGAAATTGTTCTCTGATAGTGATTTACTGTTGTTAATTTAGTTAGCATATTTGTTCAAGTGTCTTCCACTGTGGAACTCAAAGCAGATTATGGGATTCATGGGTAATTATCTATTCAGGTATTGACCATATTCAAGCCTGCTTTGCTGGAACAAGTGGATTGTATCATAATGTCATCAAAAGTTATGAGGCAAAGAGTCTATTCTGATACTACTAAATCAGGTCCCCAACCTGTGGGCCGAGGCTCACAGTTGGCCCATGGCCTATTCACAATTGGGCTGTGTAAGTTGTGGGTGCTGGCAGTCGTAGCCCCACTCATGCAAGGGCTGGGCACATGCACCCGCCACTAATGAACCTATGCACTCATGTGCACCTGCTGCTCACACCAAACCATTCCCCCTTCCTCTTGTCAGGCTACTAATCCAGAAAGGTTAGGAAATGCTACACTAAATTTTAGAAACTTCAATAATATGGTCAGTGGTGAAAGACTGATTGCTGACTGATTGATCGATTAATTGATCACCAAAATCAAGAAAAACTCCATGTTTTATATCCTGGAAATTAAATTCAGCAACTTCTGAAAGACTTCAAATTGTTAATTCATGTATGAGAGAAGAAGCGTCAAGAAGGAAGATTTTTTCAAAAAATACTAAAAATGAACAAGTCCATTCATATTTATGAATAAACAAGCCAAACTCATTCCTATATACCTTCATAGTACATATGCTTTCATTATGGTGGCCTAATCATATATGTTTTGGAGTTAAAATGTTTCCAAAACATTTTATAGCATAAAAATAAGAAGCCTGTTCATAATTCTGTGAAGATACAGTACTCAGTGGAATAGAGGATCTGTTTGCTAAAGCTATTGGGAGAACAATGTAGTGAGGAAGAAATCTCATATAGAGTGTAACAAAATTAGCCATAGACTAATCACAGTATGTTTTATGTATTTCAGCTTTCTTTATTTCAGCTACTGTATTTAGGAATGTTCAAAGGTCATGCACTATATGAGCATGGGATTGCTTAGAAGAAAATGTTAGCCGATTCAAACTTTAGGCTTTCTAGTCTAGAGACTGCTTTGCATGGGAATACTGTTGCTTACATTCTATCAATAAGAAAGTTTAGGTAGTAAATTGACATAGGTAGTTCTCGACTTATGATCATTTGTTTAACAACAGTTCAAGTTACAATGCCCTTGGAAAAATGACTTATGAACCATCTTCAAAATTACATCACCCCAACAGTCGTGATCACAATTTAGGTGATTGAGAACTGATTTATGCTTATGACAGTTGCAGTGTGTTGCAGTTACACAATTAATATTTGATTTTCTCAACCAGCTTCTGATAAAGTCAATTGAAGAAGTTGAATTCAGTTAATGACCGTCATGTGATTCGCTTAACCTCCATGATTTGCTTATCAGCCGTGATAAAAATAGTCATAAAGTCTGATCCGGTCATGTGATGATTTGCTGTACAACTGCACCAACTTAGAATGAAAATTCCAGTCCCAATCATGCTCCTAAATTGAGGACTGGGGTATATTTCAAGATTTAGGTGTACACGATTCTGATTCTCTATTATTTTCATTAGCACAAAACTTTTAGTATGTGTTTCTTTATTCCAAATGAACCAGATGATCCAAAATCAATGGCAGTTGTGTGTCATCTGGCTTGCATGTTTGTTAAAAAAGTATTTACATGTTGTAAATACAATTTAACATCAGACCTACTTGGAGTTACCCAAAATTTAATGCAGATAGCACAGAAAATATTTCTAGTAATTTTGGTAGTATTTAAAATAGGAAATGGAAGATAATTTGAGTATAATTTCCTATTGTCATTTTACTGGCTATGGGATGTCAAACTCGATTTCATTGAGGGCTGCATCAGGGTTCTGTTTGATCTCAGGGGTCCAGGGTGGGCGTGGCCATCTCAATGTCACTCGTGTCGGAGGGACTGTGATGGCTCTGCCACCACAGAGCACTCTGCCAGAGAAAATGGGCTCCCAAGCTCTATTTTCGGCTGTGACAGCCTCCTACAACCCTCTGCCAGAAAAAATGGAGCTCAGGAGAGCCACACATGACCCTCGCAAACTCTGTTTTCACTGGCAGAGACACCGTGGGCCAGTCCTTCACTGTTTCAGGGGCAGCCCCGTGGGCCAGATCTAAGCATCCCGTGGGCTGGATCCGGCCCCCGGGCCTTGAGTTTGACACCCCTGTACTAGCTGCAGTACTGAATTTCCCTAAATAGAAATCTCTTCCCCCCTTTTCCCTCCCCTTCTGTGATAATATTCATTGCTCTATAAAGAAAACATTTCAGCCATTTTTCCACTATTTCTCTCCATCTTCACACAACAAATTCACTAATTGTGGTAGCATGTTAGCTGCTTCCATTTTTATGCCTTTCATACATAAAACCTTTAACTGCAAATTGGTTTTAAGCTATTTGAAAAGGCTGTTTTCTAACTACCTGGCTTTTAAGAGTACAGATTTGGGATTGTTTTGTTTTTTTAAGTAATAATGTGGCTTCTACAAGATGAATTTAAAATGGTCAGTATTAACAGATAATGTCATAGGCCTAAGAAAAGTGGAATTGCATTATCTGATGTTGTTTAGCTGTACTTTTTAATACCCACAGTGACTCCCCCCCCATCATAGTTACTTAAAATCCCATTTGGGGTAGCTTGCTGATAAACAAGAGCTAGGGTCACAGTAATTTTCTATGTGCAAGAAATTCATCCATAAGAATGTAAATAAAGTATTTTTTCCTCTGGATTTTTCTTGTTTAATACCAGCATAGATTCACAATGTAGCAAACAATATAATCATTTTGCTAGTCCATCATCCACTACTATCAAGTTTCCCGAGATTTCTGTATGCTGAAAATTCCTCCTATGGAACAATGCATTTTATTTTATTCAAGACAGATTGATTGGTTCTTCTTGTAGTCCATGGTAATTTTAGTAACCATCTCCAGATTTATGATATGAAGGTGTCTGTCTTATTTCCTTTTATTCTTCTCAGTACACACTTTTCACAGCCATATATTATCATTGAAAAGACAATTATTTCATCTATTCTGATACTTGTGAGAAATGTCCTTATCTTTCATAATGTCTAAGAATAGCACTGTCATATTTCCAAAAATTAATCTATTTTTGCTGTCCATTGTCCTAAGAAGGCAAAATTATCTTCCATTTTAATTTCTTTTCCAACAGCTGTGGATTTATGCTGGTTGGTTGTCTTATTTTTTAACATTAACCCAGATTTTTCTCTTTCAGTTTTTATTTTCATAAATCTCCTTATTCTATATTAGCAAGTTTCTACCCTGAAATTAATCATCTGGCTATCACCCTCAAATTGATAGGGCTTCAGCCTGCACTCAATGAAATCCAGCTGTTTTATCTTCCTATCTTGTCATTAAGTATATTCACTGTATAAGATATCAAGACAATATATATTCTTCTTTCACTTCTTTATTCTAAAGCACTCAGTTTCTCCTGATTCAATTGTTTTCGTATTTCCTGCTCATTGTAAGGATTCCTAAGAAGAGTAATCAAATGTTTTGGCATACCTATTAGTTTTAATATATTGCACATTTGACAAAATAACTACAACTACACTGTGAAATGAGCAGCATATAAATTGGATAAATAATAACAAAGTCCTTGAATCAGTGGAACAGAAATAAATCTTAAATTTTCTTAGTCTCTGCAATATATATCTCATGTTAGCTATGTGACCTCATGCTTATAATCTTTTTAAAATTTGTCTACTCATTTGGCATTTCTCTTTCCTGTTCCATAGCTAGCCATTCTAGGGAAGCATTTTTTCAATATCTCTTCCTGCAAATGCTTCTGTCACTAGTAATCCAATTTGTAAAGAATTTCAATATAGTCTTTTTTTAAACTTAATTTGCCTCAATCGCATGGGCATTTGGGGAGAGACAGGCAAATGATGAATGTGTGTCATGCAAATATCGGCCTGTTTGAAACCTAGGGAAAAATATTAGGTTTTTTATTTATCATCTATCAAAATCGTCCAGCTGCCCATTTCACAACAAGAAAAGTGGATAACAAAGCTAAAAACAGATAATAAATACCAGACAATGTAGTACAGCAATAAAAAGCTAATGATCCAAGACAAAGGATGCTGAAAGTTCCTCAGAATAAGCAGCAGCCACTGATGTGCACAGACATGGGGGAAAGTGGCAGCAATAGGAACTAATGCTTTGCTTTAGTAAGGCAGTGGTCTGTTTTGTTCACCATAATTCTGTGTTATGACTCCCCTTCGAAATTCAAACGAACAAAACAGAAAGCAGCCGTTTCACAATTAAATCAAACGGAAAGAAGTCTTATTAGATAACGGCTGGCAGAAACCACAGCATAAATCTTACTCTGTCCGGCAAACCAGTCCTGGCAATAAATCCTCAGCCTCAGAGCTCTTTGCTGTAACGTCCTCACTCAAATAGTCATTTTGTTTCTGGCGAAATGCACCAGCCCAGCTGTGTCCTTTTATACTCATTAAGGCAACGTGCTAATTTACTGACTTGCTCTTATCATTTGCTCCAGCTGATTTTGCCTTTTCAACCGTCTTCTATTTTTTACATTTAACCACAAATTTTCCAAGTTCTCATCTCCACCAGAAGACTCTCTCAAAACTTCCCTGTCAGCCATTCCCGGCTGTTGATCAGATAAAGAACCAGAGGAGATCAAAAGTCCTGACAATTCTAATACATCAGGTCTGTCGTCCTTTGTCACGTCCATCTCCTCATCCTGGTTATCAGTCCAATCAGTAAGCCAGGCTGGTTCAAATTGTTCTGACGTAACCTCTTCACTTGAACTCATATCAATCACAGGAGCTGAATCCAAGCCCGGAGCCACAACAATTCTGTGTTGAAAGAAATTGAGCAAAGCCACTTTCTGGCAGAAGATAAAAGGCTTAGAATAGTTAGGAATTCACACAATATTAATAGAAACAAGAACACATTTTTAAGCCAGAAAAGAGAAGTCTGCAACTTCAGACCAATGAAAAATGGCAACAGAATCTTTTGGAAGAATATATAAAAATTTGGGTAACCTTTTGAGGTGTAAAATCTATTTCCAGGAAAGTGTGTATCTCTGCTATGGGAATAGGCAAGGACAGCTTTAATAGACAAAAATCAGAAAGAGGCAAAGCAAGAATCAGAATGAAATTATCATGTAAAGTTCAAGAGAATAAACCTACTTGGCATACCCCTGGGTTAATTTGTACATATATATTGGCATCCCTATAAGTAAAATCAAAAAGTAACTGATTATAAAGATGAGCAAATATTAAAAATAAACAGGTCAACAACTGGAAAATTAGAAGCATGTGTGGAGGGGTGCCGGCTAGAGTTTGAAACGACTAGAAAGGAAAGAATCACAACTTTATCATTCTATCTCTTGTGAAAAATGCTACCACATAATATTTCCCCCCACATACTTTTTAAAAAAATATAATATGGAATATTAGAGTGTTCAAGGAGTTTCTAGTGAGTATTATTAATGTCTTGCTCCAAGAGTGCTTCAGTTACTAGTTTGATTCTTTTCTCAGCTTCTGGGAGTAAGGGATTTTACTGAACAGTTGTTTTGTTGAGTCAGTCTGAATCTTCACAGGAAGGGCTAAAGCCCTTATTAGAATACTTTGTGCACAAATTCTTTGAAACTTGATTATCATATCAGGTTGGCTTTCCTCCCAAGAGACATTGCCAGTACAACCATTGCTTTTTTATGATGCTGAAAGATGTGTGGTATGTAAATACCTTCCATCTGGTGTGCAATATATAGTGGCTCCAAATTTGCATAACACATCTCTTCCAAGGAGATCTAAGAACAAAGACTTGGGAGAATAGAAATAAATTCTATAATGATAGTGAAGGGCTCAGAAACAGACTGATTGGAAATTTAAGCAGGGAAAGACAAAAGATTTTTGAAAATGTTGACGTTGTGACAGTAGAATAAGAAGCACTAGTATCTAAGACATGAAGGATAGTTTTTCCTCCTGTTGTGCAGTCAAGAAAGGATTCAGAGCCAGAAAGAGAGAAGAAAGTAGCTGAGATGCTGTTATATCTGTGCTGTCCTGTTGAAATACATCCATGTTATTTGTACCAGTACCCAGGATTTCCAAAGAAATAACAAAAGTTCTGGAGGTGAGCTAGAGGGTGTTTCACAGGAAAAGATGGGTTAAATGTTTGTCTCATATGTTGCTGCCTGTATCTAACTACTACTGATACATTAGGGACAGCAATATACTGCACACCAGATGGAATTTTATTTTCCTTGCCAGTGCTAATGGGAGCTTTACAGTCAACTCATTTGTCATAGCCTTTAGTTCAGGCTTTTTCTTACTTAGAAATTTTGGTGCTTGCGTAGCCATTGCAACAATCTAATTAGAGGGTTTGTTACATAAGCATGATATATTTTAAATGTTGCTGAATCTTTGACTGCAGACCCTGTACAAAAAGTTTGTGGAATAAATTGGTTTATTTCAGAAAGTCTAGAATGCTGCTAATTGTGGTTCTTAAACTACCCATGAAATCAGCTAAGAATTGTACTTTTTGTATAATATCATCAGCTACTATAACATGAAATTCATAAAAAGTTATAGAAAAAAGATATATCAAACTTACATCACACTAGCAAAAGTGATTATGCAGAGATCTTACACTCATGCTAGGTTCATTCTCAAGGTCATTAAAATTATGAATCTTTCCACCATGTTGTATCCCACCGTGTTGTGCTGATAAATTTACTCTTAACAGATGTGACTAAAATTGTTGAGATTTAAGGAGGTATTTGTGAGGAACGTTTCTTACTACTGATAACTGTTTATGTTTTAATTTTTAAAATGTGATTCTAAGATCTGATCTCAAAACTAATCTGTGGTACTGAGTCCTTAGTACAGACAAATAAAGAAGAGAAGCATCTTTAAGACACTGGTGCCTTGTTGCTGTTCTTATTAATTCCCAGTATTTAGTACTTAATTGTCCTCAATGGGGCTCATGTTGCTTGGTGCTGATGCCCTTATTTGGTTAAGTTAAATAAATCTTATGTACAAACATTATAGGCCTATGCTTAAAATCACAGATCTGTATATGCCAGGGATGAGCAATCCACAGGCCCCAAGTTCCAGGACCATTTTTTTCAATTGCCAATACAGTCACTAAAATTCAGGGGCAACCTTACCTATTGTCATTGAAGTGAGTGGTTTTTTAATAGATGGTTAATGGGCCTGTTGTGCATTTTAATCATCCCAAAGTGCCTTATCTGGATACATCACCAATTTTAACTTTTGTAGCCTTTAGGTGCAAAATAATAGTAAATATTTAAAGAAAAAGTGTGGCCCAGGCCGTAAGAAGAGGTTACTTAATAATATATATGCCCTGTTTTTAGATAATTCAGACTTTCTTAGAAATGATTGTGAACAAAAACATATTTATTAATATATTATTAGGGCAACATTTAACCAGAAGTCAAACCAGTTATGTCATTTTATAAAATTCACAGTAACCTTGCACGAACATTTCTATTTCTCCTTCACAGGTGGTTTGTTTTGGATGCTGAAACAAGAGATTTGGTTTCAATCCATACAGATGGCAACGAGCAGCTCTCTGTGATGCGCTACACAGTAGGTATGCAGAACTGTTAATACATTTGAACCATTTATTCATTTCTTCAGACTTGTCATCTATTCTAAAAGGAGTGTTTTAAGTAAGAACAACATTGTATCTGAATATAGATCTTTTTAACATTCACATTTTATTGTGTTTTTTTAATCTTGGGGAAATGTTAATATCTATTAGACGTCCATGTATGGTACATTATATGCTAAATAAATAAAATATAAAAAGTAAGAACAAAATTGTGTTAATTTCTTTGGAATTATTTTTCCACATTGAAAAAATATTACTTAATAAAATTGGGGGATTTTTTTGTTTGATTTTGGTTTTACTGCACCTGAACCAACAGTATTGTTTGCCAGCTTACCTTATTAAATAGTAGCTAAATAGAGGAAGTAGTGATGCAAATTCACATAGAAAATAGTATCCCGGCAGATACAGGTCCTGGCAGCAGTTCAAAAACTGGACCTTTTTCTGACTGAAGTTGGCATTTAACTCTCCGCTTAGAACAAAAGTGCTGCAGGGTGGGAGAAAATGGGGGAAAAGATAATAGCTGATGTCAATAGAAAAGAAGAAGGCAAGTAGGGAAGGGCTGACAGTGTTATGCCATGCTTGAATTCAAGCACATTGACTGTAAAGGAGAAAGAAAGAATTGAGACAATTGACAGGTGAGCTAGTGCACTGTGAGGCAGAAATGAAAAGGTGCCCAACTGTTGTTTCAAGACCATCCAGAGCCTGTCTTAGCTAAAACCTGGAACAACCAAAAAATTCCCAATTTTATTTGGCCAGAATCCAGAATTATCCAGAATCAATCCATCCATTTACAAAAGAGCCATGTATAAACACATTCATGTACAAAACAAAATACCTGTAACTTTGCTTTCTTGATATCAGTGAGTCTACTCCTAAACATAACCATTTCCTGTTAAACAAATTGTCTTTATCATGTAGGCAGCATTGTTAGGGCAGTTACATTAAAGATATTTTTAAGATATTTTGCCTTTGTAGGGGGAAACTGAGTCTTTTTGTCTGAATAACCTCAAAGAGCCACTGAGAGTTATTTTAATTAAGCTATGTTTCATCATATGTTGTTTTTGAACTAATTATCATTTAAAGGCACTTCAGAAGACTCTGGTCAAGCTTATGGCTAAGTGTGTCAGATATGAACAAAGTGAAATGTGAACAGAAACTTAGCATAGTCACAGAAATGTCCCAGTCTCTATTTTCAGTCTTCCCTGTTTTAGAGGAAATCAGAATAAGTTTTGTTAGATGATCTTAGTGGAGAAGCAGATTTATATAGTAAAAGATGAAACTTGAAATATTCCAATCCCATATAATGTATTACTGAGTTGACATTTTATTGAATGAACAGGCTTATACAAGTTGATGGGAAACCATCATTGAAATATATCTATGGTTGGGGAAATGCAAAATTTATTTTTACCACTAAAAGCCATTCAGTAGCTCTGTAAACAATTCTTGCACATTGTAAATTTTATTTTGGGATAATTCTTATTTTAAGTCATTGAAGGTGGCTAGTTTGTATCTTGAGAGTCTCTACCAGAAGAAAATCATTGATATCCTACTTGGACCCCATTGCTCCCTGCCCATTGCTCCTTTGGTCAATTTGATATGGAATTGAATGACACAACACAAAAAGAATTTGACCAAAGACTAGAGATACTGAAAAATTAGGCAGAAACAATTATATAAGTGGAACTTTATATAATGCTTACCAATTCTCTCTAACCCTGAGTAGAAGGTCTTTGGAAAGCATAACATTTCATTGGAGAAGAAACAATGGGCTAGTCTTTTTTTATGACCTTCCTTTGATAGAGCATTCTCTAGTCTAGAGTCAATTCTAGACTTTGAAGAAGCAGAATAGAATGAGTATTGATGTTTTTGAGCTTAGATGTTGTAGAAGACTCTTAAGAATACAGTTAGAAGATTATACTCAAGGAACAAGTGGCCAGGTTGAAATAATTATACTTTTTGCATACTTTGGACATATGCAAAAATCTAGCTCTCTGAAAAAGTCTATAATTCAGGGGAAAGTGGAAGGAAAGAGAAGAGGACAATAAACAGTAGGGTGGGTGAACTCAGTTACAATGTTGATGGGTCCAGGTTTGGGACCAATTGTCATGGAGAAAATCTATGTGGTTGCTAAAAATAACATTGATGGTACATAATTATCAAGAGCCATACTAGTTAACAGTCTTATATGAAAATTAAAATATTCTGAATGCTTACCATTTTTCTTCAATAGATAAAATAAAAATAGTACATGCTTTGGATTACAACTTTTATTTATTTGTTATGATCTACAATTATTTCATACATGATATGCTAGAGAGTTTTGCACTGTCTCCAATTATAGTTTGTTTTTAACTTGCATTACAGATGGTACCTTTCTTGCAGTGGGTTCCCATGACAACTTCATTTACCTCTACATTGTAACAGAAAATGGAAGAAAGTACAGCAGATATGGAAAGTGCACTGTAAGATCTGTAAAATGATACTCTTTTTTTAAACTTTCTAAATAAAGGTATAATGCATACAGATTTCTCATCCAGGTACTGTGTAGATCCCACTGTTTAATGTCAGTAAGTAATAGGCTGAACCTTAATTTCTGATGGTTGATGGTGCAGTACATTTCTATTTAAAATATTCCTAATTAATATTGTGTTCTTATCACTTGACCACAGTGTCCTCTAATGCCACTTCTTAAAGCTTTCTTAGGAATATCGTGTTTTTTACTTTTAGGGCATGAAGGTACACATACAAAACATTATTTCCAGTTTAAATGTAGGCAAAATTTGCTTTTAACTGGTAAAATATTGTAGAGTTCCATGATTTCCATGCTCATTATTTTAGTAGTTGGTTTTATTATTTTTACCCCAAAACCTATTTTCAGGTTCTATTTTTTTGCCACAGAGCTTCATACAGTATATCATTGTTCAAATGCTGGTATATTATTCTGGACATGTGGATGTTTAAAAGCAATTTTGTGTGTCAATTGAATGCACATGTACCTTTCAGTTTTGAATGCTAATTTGACATTTCAAATTCTCTTATCATAATTTATTAGAGTGACACACTTGAAATCCAAATATTGAGAGGTTAGAAACTTTTCCATTTTAAACAATTGCCCCACATTAAAAAAACAGAGTGAATATATTAATTTGGAAAATCAGAGTAAAAGGAGATCTGCTTATTCTGCCTTTTATTTTTAAACCCAAGTTTAATCAAGATATGCCTTTTCCAAAAAGTTTCAGGGAGTGAGAGCTGTGGAATATTTTTCACTCTTTGTAATAGTATTTAAATTTGTTTCTAGACAAAACACACAGAGTTGGGTATTAATTTTAGAGCTTAGTTGTGGATTAATAGAGAGAATAGCATCTTTTGTATGATCTTTCAATGCTTGGAAGTCTCCTGAGAACTCAGGCATCAGGAACAGCGTTAAGCTTTTCCAGATCTTTGAAGTTTAGTTTGCCTTTTTAAACTCTAATTTTATATTTTTAGTGTAAACTGTTATGACTCTGATAGTTGGCAGAATAAAAATAAAAAATTAACTTTTATCTGATAATAAAAGATGTGACTGGTAAACATTTAATTGTGACATAATAGTATTTCACTTTGTAATAACTCTGTATGCTATTCATTCTCCTCATAAATTTGACATTCTCCTATCCTTCAGTTTGAAGTTTTTAATGTAGTACGTGCAGTTTTTATTAGTGAAGTGCCAGTACTTGTCACATATGCATATGGTATGTCAGAAATAAAATATAAAATAACTCTCTTGCTATGACTGCCACTGAAGAGATGGTAGTTGCTTATAGAAATATATATTTGATATAAACTATTTGGACTGTTTCAACAATGTGATCTTCAACTCTCACATGATTTAGTCAAAGGGATATTTTTGCTCAAAAGAGTCTCTTTAAATTGGCTTTTTTTCTATTTTCCAAATTCTGGAAAAATGTTAACAGCTGTCAAAAGTCCAGCGATGTCCTCCTTGCCTACAATGCTAGCTTCTCAATTTTTAAAGTTTCAGGATAACAGATGGAGGGCAGGGGGACAGATGGTGCTTTCTTTTTTTTCTGAGACCACTGCATGTTTCCTGGGGACATTGTAAAAGCAAATTCATTCATGTAAACCAGTTGAATTTGGCATCCTATTATCCTTGACATGAAATAAACTCTCTATATACATAACTGCTCACAAAGAACATTTCTGTTATTGCATATCCACCCTTTCAGTTGAAGGGTAAATTGTATCCTTCCACTCCATCTTCAATCAAATCTTGTTTGCCCAGGTTCAGATGTGATTGACAGATCAATTTACTTTTGCTATTAAATCAGTTATGTATAGAGAAATCACTGCACTTGAGAAGGAGGAATCTCACACAATGAAATGATTAAAGCAGTGATTTGCATCTGCCTGCCATATGCTTAAATTTCAACATGGCTGACTGGGATTTATGGTAATTGTAATCCATTCATGGGCTTCTAGTTCATTCCCATCAAAATACAACTTGGTGGATTAGTTTTATAAACTACCATGTCGATTTGTTTTTTGGACATTTTAAAGGGGAGATAAAAGGTGAAAGAGGGAGAAATCACTGTTTTAGCTGGAATTTTAATAGCTTCTTTATCTCTTTTTTGTTTTAGGGACATTCCAGCTATATTACACACCTTGATTGGTCCCCAGAAAACAAATACATAATGTCCAACTCAGGAGATTATGAAATATTGTACTGTGAGTATAAAATTGCAATTATTTTCATACTAGAAAAATGCTAACAATCATAAGAAGAAGAAAAACATGCAGTACATGGAATGCTTGTTGACAGAGGATAATAATTTGACCTTCTACATAGCCTGATCTTCTATATTATTCAAAGCTATTTTGTTCTTAATGTTAATTTCAAATATAGCTCCTGTCTCTGCGAAGGCATCAATTAACACTTTACGAAAGAGGTGCTGGGGTATGATATGTCACAGTATAAGTTATAGCTTGAAAATATTATATTTCCTTGATTAAATTTCTTCTTTATTTATATAGTTAAAATAATTATTTTAGCACTATTAATATTCTTTTATTTTAGTAAACTTTATTTTAAGAATTCAAAAGGTTCCATGTGCATGGAAAACAAATTATTTTCCTTAGCCCAAAGGTGGTGTAGTAGAATCTTTTGGGTTTGTTGCTTGTTTGGGATACCTAACCTAGGAAAAATCATGACTAGCAGACTATATTCAGCCAAATTGTCAAAACTTGCCGGATTTTCTTTTATATTACCAAAATAATGCTTATTATAGACCTGAAAGACAAATTTTAAGTTAAAATATCTGGAACAATTATGGTATACTTGAAATTAGCTTGGAGCTCTCCAGGATATGAATATTATTAATCAGAATAAGACTGATTAATAATAAGGTAATAAACTCTTACAAAGAGCCCCAGTGTTCAATAAACATCTCTGCTATCTTTTATAAATTATTACTCTGTAGTAGCAAAGAATAATGGCTTATGAAACACAAGCAGGATGTGAGTTATTCAATTCTGGCCCAATTTAAAGTGGATTTTCATACAAATTATAAAACAATATTTCATTCAAGTGTTCCTGCTTTTGACTGTAAGTTGAAGGAGATTAAGATTGCTAGATTTTTCTAGCCAAAAATAAAACTTCCAAAAGAAGGCAATAAGAAATCATGCATATCTACGTAACTAGCAGGAGTCAAGTTCAATTTGAACATGACTTGTCTTACTATTAGCAGTAATTTTAATTATTTCCAAATATTGATTTATTTATTTAAAAGCTATATATAGCTGCCCAACTTATATCAAAGTCTGGGCAGCTGCTGATCAAGAATTAAAACAACATCTGCATATAAAACAACACAATACATATATGTATTAAAACTACAAACATTAAAAGCCTGGCACTAACATTAAGCTTCCACATGCAGTCCCTCATTTAATCGTCCACCACTTCTCCCTATCTCAAGGGAAGGGAAAAGCCAAATGTTAAGAGTGTAAAGGCCTGGCAAACTTCAAAGTGAAGGGTATTCGATAGGAAATAAACTTCCACAGAAATACACACTTCCTAGATTTATAAAATGACATTGTTTAAGAGAAGAGATTAGGAATAGAGAGACACTATCTGATTTGGTAGGAGAGGTAGATGTCCTTATGGAGAATCAGTCTCACAGATAACCTGGCCCTAGGGGATATAACAATAGCACTTAGATTTATATACCACGCCATAGTGCTTTACAGCACTCTCTGGGCAGTTTACAATGTCAGCATATTGCCCCCAGCAATCTGGGTCTTCATTTTACTGACCTCGGAAGGATGGAAGGCTGAGTCAACCTTCAGCCCACCAGGATCAAACTCCAGAGTGTGGGCAGAGTTAGCCTACAACACTGGATTCTATCCACTGTGCCACCAGGGATCCTTTATAACAGAGCTTTAAAGTAGTAACATCCTGTTGATCCTGATCCATTTAAGTATAGACATAGAATAAAAAGCTTCATGCATACATTCTACCGAAGAGTGTCTTTGGACGCTTTTCTTTATTTATAGTAATAATAATAATGTGAAGTTCACTTGTATAGAAATAAAATTACATCAATTTAAGTCTAAAGCTATTGAATGACTCAATGGATCAAAATTCAAAGAGAAGGAATGTTTAAGATTTTATTCCCCCTGTCAGTCACTATGAGTTTAAATTTTATTAGCACCTATTGTGTAAAATGTAAGTTAAAGTAGCTATGAGCCAAATTTTCAAGATATATGAAGCTTTTTCATGAGAAAAAGAAAAATTCATTCATGTTGCACTAGAATGTAGCATATGCACAGTTATATATGCCAGTCTGCTGAAATCATTTACTTTATACTAACATGATTCACACTTAATTCTTGGACTTTCAAGCTATTGGTTTATAATGTACAGGTATACCTACAGGTAGTCCTCAATTTATAACTACAGGTAGTCCTCAATTTATGACCAATTGAGCCCAAAATTTCTGTTGTTAAGTGAGACATTATTAAGTGAGTTTTGCACCATTTTACAACTTTTCTTGCCACAGTTTTACACCATTTCTTGCCACAATAACTGCATCTGTTAAGCTAGTAACACAGTTGTTAAGTGAATCCTCATTGACTTCACTTGTCAGGAGGTCACAAAAGGTGATCACATGACTCTGGAAACAGCAACAGGCATAAATATGAGTCAGTTGTCAAACATCTGAATTTTGATCATGTGACTATGAAAAATGGTCATGTCACTTTTTTCAATGCTGTTGTAACTTTGAATGGTCACTAAATGAATGGTTGCAAGTCGAAGACTACCTATATAACATTTATTATAACAAAATGTTCTCTTTTAAAAAGCAAACAAACATAAAGCTGCTATTTAACCTTTTATTTTTCCTAAAAGATAGCTCGGTATTTAGATTTTATTTCCATTCTATCTTTGCATCCTTTTTTAATAATACATGCAATATAGAATAATTTGCTTGGCCACCATTGCTTGGAGCATGAATGCTTGCAATACCTAAATAACAAGGTGAAATAGTGAAAAACTGAATTTACAACATACTCTGCTAGTAAACCCTTTTAAACAACAGTTAGTCAAACTCAAAATATTTGACAGTTGTTTTTATTTAGCTTTTTAATATATATATATTTATATATATATATATTATAGCTTAAACAAATCTCACTCTAATATTATTTTACTGTACAATATATAATTATAATTTCAACCTGTCAAGACACAGAAGTGGACAGAAGAGCTTCTCTTAAAGATACCACCAATTTCAGGGGCCCATTTTAGGCATAGAAGGAAGGACCTTCTCCTATTGTTTCTAAGATATGGAACACATTCCTTCCAGAGCAGAGTTTCTCTCGCTTTAGGAAGATGGCATTTTGTTTCAACCAGCTCTTTTGAATGGGAATGATAATGATTAGTTGTTGCTTTTAACAGGGTTTTAATTGCTTTATATTTCTGAATGTTTTTCTTCTAAGAGTTACTTTGAGAACACTAGGGATGGAAAGATAGGATACAATTGGAAATTATAAATAGCTGTTCCAATACCAGTTATGTATTTTTATAAAGGGGACATTCCAAATGGCTGTAAACTGATAAGGAACCGCTCTGATTGCAAGGACATAGATTGGACAACATACACTTGTGTGCTGGGGTTTCAGGTATTTGGTGAGTAATATATTCCTATATAATTGTCATTCTTAAGTTTAAAGCCAGTCTACTCTGGAAAATACAAAGATTATACCATTCAGAGAGTTTTAAATATTCTGCTATTGTCGTTTCTTTAAATTGACTTCATAAATGGAATTATTCCTGTATTTTCTTTTTCATTAAATATAATTGCTTTGGTGATGATTGTTACAATTGCATAGGTATCTACTACAAAAAGCACAAGCACTAGCACTTAGACTTATATACCTCTTCATGGCGTTTTAAAGTCCTCTCTAAGCAGTTTACAGAGTCAGCATAATGCCCCCAACAATCTCTGCATATAACTTTTTCTTTGTTGTCATAAGAAATAGGGTTCCCAGTTGGGCAATTTTAAGATGCGTGGATTTCAACTCCCAGAATTCCCAGCCAGCATACCGTGACTAATAATTCTGCAAGTTGAAATCCTCACATCAAGTTATCCAGGTAAGAAAACACCAATAAGAAAAGACTGAACATTTGTCATTAAATCTGTATTTGTTTTAAGGCTTCAATTCATTCAGTCCATTGTTATCGTAATATATTTCAATTACTTAAAAATGTGTGTCCTAAATTTGGCCAATAACAAAGTTTTTCCTAGTTGTTTAGTAAAAGTAATACAAAGTCTTAGAAAACATATTTAAATGGGATTCTGCCATGTCAGATAAAGCTTTTGTCTTTTCTCATACGCATAGGAGAGATTGTATTTCTAGGATAATTATTATTGGATGATTTAGTTTTGATTGATGCATTCTAAATGGACGGCTAATTTCTTAAAAATTTTCTAAGCCATAGATAGAAAACCTGTAACCATCTAGAATTATTGGCTGGCTAAGGCTGATAGGAATTGGAGTCCAATGTCTTGAGGGCTATAGGTTTCTTGCCCCTGGTTTTAGTAATTCTTTTATTCTTTTGTGTTTATATAATGAAGGAGTGTGGCCAGAAGGATCAGATGGAACAGATATAAATGCCCTTGTGAGGTCCCATAATAGGAAAGTGATAGCTGTGGCTGATGACTTTTGTAAAGTCCATCTATTTCAATATCCCTGCTCCAAAGCAAAGGTAAGTTTAGGGGCAATGTTTTAGAGCAGGAGTGAGAAGAAAGTGGTTGTATAAATATATAGCTGTGTTTTCAGCTTCACATGCTAGAATCTCTTGTAGAAATAACAGTTTCGTTTCCTATGCACCAAATGTCCCATAATAGTTATTGTTGTATTCCTTCAATGGTGAATATAATCTAGAAAAAATATATCCCTTTGCCTTATTGGATTGGTCACCTGGAGGTATAATGATTAAGTTACTACTCTCTCACTACATTTTCTTTTTCATTTCATATCTACCTATAGATTTTAAACTGTTGACAGCACAGTGATTGCAGTGAAAGGATAGAACGGACATTTTATTATTTAGTTTACTAGGATAATAGAATAATAGTAGCAGTAGCACAGACTTATATACCCCTGCACAGTGCTTTACAGCCCTCTAAGTGGTTTACAGAGTCAGCATATTGCCCCCAACAACAATCTGGGTCCTCATTTTACTGACCTCGGAAGGATGGAAGGCTGAGTCAACCTTGAGTCGGTGAGACTTGCACTGCAATTGCAACCAATGATTTCCAAGATTGCTGGAGGATGCAAACCAATTATTCTGGTTAGCAGCTTCTCCACTCCTATGACAGGGTTATTTATAAGAAGAATGGGACTTATCCATTCCTATGAAACTTGCACATTATAAGTAAATTTTACTGTAAGTAAATTCTGTTGTTTTAATATTTATATATGGCAAAGTGAGCAGTAGCATTAGAGTTAGATAGAATTCATTTTGAGGTTGTAATGATTTATATTTGGGGAAAAATTTCTGCTTGCTAAAATTTGCAATGCACTGGAAAGATAAGATATATTTTCCTAGTTAATTGGAAGTTAAGTTAATCCTGTTTGATGTATAACTTGATCTTAACACTAGTGTTTTTTATTTGTGTTAACAGGCTCCAAGTCATAAATATAGTGCCCATAGTAGTCATGTAACAAATGTCAGTTTCTCTCATAATGATAGTCATTTAATTTCAACTGGAGGCAAAGATATGAGTATCATTCAGTGGAGACTTGTTGAGAAAGCAACTTTGCCACAGAATGATACTGCTGTAGAAATGGGCACAAACAAAGTGCCTATAACTGCCAGAGACAGCTTTACACAGCCAAGCACCCCTGTGTCCCTTAATCAACCCTTGGATGAAATGGCAACCAGTGAAAATTTAATGGATGGCTTTTCACCATCCTTCGAGAGTGACATGGAGCATACTATGAAGACCAATGAAGAGCAGAATGAGGAGCAAAGTGAGGGAAGCAGTCTGGATCCAGGAGAGCCAAATTGTGAAGAACCACCTAGTGAAATGAGTGAGGAACAGAGTGAATCCACTGTTATTGAAGATCACCGGGAAAACTCTCCAGTGTCTTATCAACTTGAAACTCAAGATGATCTTTAAATAGTTTATCTCAGTGCATATTGTTTTAAAGAAAAAGAAAAAAAGAGGGTTCAAGTAAGGAAGGGAAGCAGCTCTGACATGGAGCACTCAAGTTTCTGTGGAAGGCTTGTTAGTTTGATCTACTTTTTTCAACACATGGGATTATTGTAAGGACTCATTTTGACAGTTCCAGTCAAGTGCTAAATAGAAAACTAGAATGTAACCTTTGGTTAATTATAATTCTGAAATTGCTATGAGAAAGAGGCATGATACAAATAACTAAGGAAGAGTTTGCTGAGAAAAGCAGGTAGAGAATATTGTGGGAAAGAACTTTTAAGACCATTCAGAAGCATTATGTAATACCTGCTATGTAATGTAATCCTGGTGAAAGCCCTTCGGGAAGCTCTCCTTTCTGTTTTTACATTAAAAAGAGAAGGAGAGGAGAATAAGACAACAACATAATAGCACATACAGTGCTGTGCTTACTGCCTTCTTGATTTTAATACCTATGCAATTTTCTAAAACTAGCAATTCTTACTAGCCGCTACTTTGGTTGCTGGTTATCCTAAGACAACTCATATTAAAATATACTTCTGTTTGTTCCATGGTAGTAGACCTTAAAATAACCAAATTAAGATAGCAAGTTCTGCTTAGTTTTCTACCCAATGATTGCTATACAGTGTAATTTCAAGGAACTACTTGCATCGACATATTAAAATTCAAGAACACCAACTGTGACTATAATGCAAACTGACTTAACTTCATTAAGATAAAAGTTCTAATTCTCAAGTTCAAACCTGAACTTCAGATACAATTAGTATTTTCAGTAAGAGATTAAATATTAGAGAAATAGCGTTAAGTTATGAAATCTAATGCTTGGGAGTAATGCAATTATTGACTCAGTTACATATAAAATTGGGGATAACCTTAAAATAAGAAATTTTCATATAGACTTTTTTACAGCCATTTTTTAAATAGCTGTAATATAAATATCCCATTTTCTTGGATAATGTTGGCTATTTTTGAATTTTTTCTCTATTTGTGTGTTTCTTTTTTCTCTTGTCCAATTTGTAAGCCGTGCAGCTCAGAGATAGCTGGACCTGGCCAGTTATGGGATATCATGGCATTTTAGTATGTGTTAAAATTATCCTTTTTTAAAAAAAATTAAAAATGCATCAGCTACATTTTTTCTTAAATACCTAGTTTTTCCTGTTTAAACGTTTGTTGAAAAACACCCTACTTTATATTTTAGTTACATAGGATTTTTTAAAATTGTGCTGATATTTTAGACCTTATTTAGAAGTTGTGTTTAGAAACCTTTGTTAAGTCTTAAGTGTGCAAGCGTTTACGTGAATGTGCCATTCCAAAGTGCATCAGAACTGTCATTCCCTTCTATTAACTTCTCAGGAGTAAATACTACAGATCAGGTATGTAATCTACAGCATTCATCAGTGGAAACATTAACAATTAATGTGGACTCCCAAAGGACATAAAGACTGTCACATACAGATACATATAGGTGCACATACATCTTTGTTTACATCCATTCTGGAAAACCTCAACATAATTATCTTCAGAAACCACGATGTGAATTCCAAGCAACTGCTCTCTTTTGCTTTATCTAAAAAGCTGTACTGTTAAATGATATGTTGGAGTGCTCCAGTGTATGATTGGCCACTTTGCCAAATAGTCCCTGTGGGCAACACAAATACAAATACTGTATCAAGATAATGGATTCCTTTGGAAAAGATGCATTTGCAAGGGAAAAGGCCCATTTTCAATGATTTACAACTTCCGAGTCTGCTTCAGTGAGTTCTATAACCACCCATAATAGATGGAGGAAAAGATGGAGAAGGGGGATTATATTTAACATTCTCCCCTATTTTTTTGTTCCACTCTATTCCACAGGGAGAGATTAACTGAATTAAAAACAGCTTTTAAAGCTTTTAAAAACATAATAAGGTAAAATAGTTCTAGTAATTTTAGTTAACATGAAATGGATTGTAGAGCTCTTTAACATCCTCGGTGAGTAGCATGAAAACGGATTTATCTATTACCTTGAGGTTGCCATATAAAGTGAGAATTAATAGTTGTGATTTTCCTCATGTTATAGATTAACAGATTTTTTTTAATGCCAAAAAAAAGGAAAGGAAAAAAAAGCCTTACAATTTTTGATTGCTGGCAACTACTGTTCAATAAATAAGTATAATCTGTGATAATAGAAATGGGTGGGATTATGTTAACTGTAAATGTTTTAGGGCAAAATTGTGAATGAAATATGATTTGAGTGTGTCATGTGAAGATGTTTGAGCCATTCTGTCTATCATGCATTCCTGTCTCATGGCAGAAAAATCTGAAGATTTAAAATAATAATAAAAATACAAGAATCAACTTAATATAGCAATATTTTCTTGTTTGTATCTTTCCTGGTTCATATGTTTGAATTTCAGTAGTCTAAAGTAGGACTGTTCCAGTTCACTAATCAGTTCAAGGCAGATGTGATGTGCTTGAGGCAGAGCAAATGAAGACAACCCAATCTATTCTGTGCCAAAACTTATGATGAAGCTCCATGTTCAGTATCTGGTCAGGGCAGGGATGATTCAGGGATATCCAAATCAAAGTGCCCTTGCAGTCAGACTTCCATTCACTGCCCTAAAGTATGAACGGGAGTGAACTTCGGAGTTAACCTGCTTGCTTGCTTGTATTTATATTATCTCATCTCTTCTGTCAAACTGCTCCTTATTCCTCCTCTACTCTGTTCTACTTTTGCTCTCTTAACTTTTGGTGTCAGTTGAGTAAAACATTTTTAATTCCTCAGAGACTTGCCTCTGTTTCAATATGATGTATTGCTTAGGATAACAGTGGACAACCTTGGAAATAATGTAGTTTCTCATTTTTGCAGCCTATGCTGTCTCTCAGTAATTCAGTGGAAAAATCATCTAAAGTGTCAGCCATTTGATAGAAAAATGAAAGGAAAAGCAGGGAGATCATATTGAGACAGAATTGGGTCTTATCTCTCTTACCTAAAAATTGGTCTCCCCGCTACAAAAATGTTGCTTGACTCTCAGAGGGATATGTCTGTGATTTCACACAGAGAGAAGATAGCTTGCATATGCATATATTAAATGTTTGGGTAAAATGTATCCTAAAACCTATCAGGCATCTCAAAATACAACACCCCAATAGCCATGTAATAATAAAAAACGCACTGAGTCAAGAAATGATACTGTAATTGGATACATGCACACATGGAATGTGTTAGGTTGTCCATCTGTTTTCCTTGGGCAGAGATCCCTAAGCCCTTTCCCTTCAATCCATACTACACATTCCAATATTCCTGGGGAAAGCCTATTGGAATCCTGCCATCAAGCACTTTAGAAAAATCCTCTGCAGCTGAATTATAAAGGTAAGTGAAGTTGTGCCCCATTTTTTGTATTTTCCTTCTTTTGGTGGAAACAGCTTTTCTAAGATGCACATGCTAATCACAGATATTTGGGTAGGAAGCTTCAAAATGCAACAAGGTGACAGGATTCCAAGTAAATTCAGTAACATGGGCAAAAGATTACCTGACAATGCAAGAAGATTGAGGAGCAATTTCTACTTTGTACGAATCCGGTACTCTTCAGAAATAATCTGAATCCCTGACTTATAAGTCCTTGAAGACAGGTAGGCTTGGAATATGTTTTCTGCTGTACAATTTTGTATAAAAGTTGTATTTGGGTTGAGTTCTATTGCTCATATTCTATATCCGTGATGGCAAACCTATGGCACATATGTCACAGGTGGCATAGAGAGCAATTTGTGCCGGAACACAAGCCACAGGCAAACTTGCCTTACTGCGCATGCGTGCACCTCGCAGCTGATTTTTGGGTGGTTTGAGGCTTTTTTCACCTCCCAGAGGCTTGAAAAAAGCATGTGCAGACCAAATAGGCCCGTTTTGTCATTTCCTGTAATACCAGAAGTGATGAAACAGGCCTATTCGGCCTGCACAGGCTTTTTTCAAGCCTCTGGGAGGCCAAAAAAGCCTCAAACCAGCCAAAAATCAGCTGTGAGGTGCAGTGCAGCTAAGGATGTAGCGGGGAGATTGCGCACAGATGCGCAGGAGTGGAGGGGACACACATTGCCTTCTGGGTGGTGGCATGTGAGCGAGCAAGTGCCAGTGCACACATAATTTTGGCACAGGAGCCAAAAAAGGTTAGCCACCACTGTTCTATATGCACACGATTTCAGTGAAGGTGTTCAATAGTAAGTCTTCTGGATTAATATAATGTATAAAAAAATAGGTGAATGAAAATCAGATGCTTGGCAAAATTGCCACAGGTTTCCATCAACTTGGGAGTGGTTTTTCTTTTTATAATCCTGAAGTGATTTGTTGAAGAGTTCAAGAGCTATAACTTGAAACAGGGATACAGTATTGACATATTCCAAGCAGGGTCTTTGAGACTTCTGCATGACCAGTGATTCTGTGTGATCAGTAGATTCAGATTTAGGTGGATAATTATAGAGAAAGTAAGGAACCATTTTCTTTGAAGACCACATTAATCAAACAAACAACCCTGCGAGATAGATAATAATGGCACACTGCTGTGTAAGTGAGATAAAATTGTAACACTATAATACAGGACAAAAGTCCCAAAGTGCTTATTCAAAAGGCAGCTTGACTTTGTTTTTTGTTATTTTTGCTTGAAGATTTTTTGCTTCTCACCCAAGAAAGCTTTTTCTCTTCTGAATTATGGTTGAGAGGATGGTTTGAAACAGGTCAAAGAGACCATCTGTATTAAGATTGCAAATCCCTTTCTCAACAGAAGGAAGGGATATGGCACCACCTATCTCCTATTTACAACAAAGTCATTCCAGCAGTTCCAAGAAATTCCACTCTCATTTGCACATTCAGGTGACCCTGGGGGCACAGATAAACCTCCAAGTGACCTCAACGATTTTCCAAATAGCAATAGTAATTAGACTTACATACCATTTCACAGTGCTTTATAGCCCTCTCTAAGTAGTTGAGTCAGCATATTGCTCCCAATAATCTGAATCCTCATTTTACTGACCTTGGAAGGATGGAAGGCTGAGTCAATCTTGAGATGAGAATCGAACTGCTAAACTGCTTGGAAGCTGGCAGTCAGCAGAAGTAGCCTGCAATTCTAACCACTGCACCACTATGGTTCAGAAAAAGAGCTAATGACCAGATGACTGTAAGGAATATAAATCCATTTTCCACCATCATTTAGAACTGAAGTTTCTTAGATGAGAAGCAAAACATCTTCAAGCAAAAAACAAAGTCCAGTTGCCTTTGGAAAAAGCACTTTTGAGACAACCATAACCTGGATGACTGAAAATCACCATAGACATAATACAGAACAAAAGAGAAAGTTATGTTAGATAATTCAAGCCTGAATGGACACCTGGTGTCCTAGCCTGCTCTTCATCTGTATTGTTCTGCACTCTTAAAAACTGGGTTATTTTCAAATCCGTCCAATCTCCACCATAAACATAAAAAGTGACAGCTGGCACCCAAAAGTATTACAGTGCACTCTAGGAAACTTCTCTGGGTTTCTCATTTTAAAATAGCACCTGTTAAATTGTGGGAAAAGCTGAAGAGGAAAGTTTTAATAAATATTTTCAAATATGGGCCAGGTCAAGGAAAAACTGGTGTTCCTTCAAGTAACAGCATTTGACTAAATTTGTTTGCAACTGGAAGCTAACAGTGTTTAAATAAAAGACCATCCAGACATCCTGACCTGTAAGCTGGAACTGAAATTTGGAAAAAAGAAAACAGAAGAAGATGATGTCCAGCTACTTCTGCATTGCTGCCAGAAAAACTACAAGGGAGAATTATATGTTGTAAGCTGCCCAGAGTCATCTTATAGGAGAGATGGGTGGCATAAAAATTAAATATAAAATTTGGATCAGATTTTTTTCTCTCACCCTGTTCTGAAATTTCACCCATTCTGAAATCTAAAATCATTTACAAACACACATATTGAGGGATTTGTGGATTCCTGGGAAAACTCCCACATTTTTGTGGTGGTTCCAGTTGTTAACTATATGCGCTTTTGTAAAATTTTCAGATCTTTTCCCAGAAAAATAGCCATTTGGTTTTTCTCAGAAAAACACGAAAACAATCTTCTCCTGACAGTTTCTTGTGCCATGACGCAAATAAAAAGTGATATTTCAATTACATGCTTGTGGCTATTATCCTGAGTTTTTTTGACACACACATATTCTGCATACAGCATTATTTATGGGATCTTTAAAATTCAGAAATAATTGAAACATATGGTTGCTTTGTATGTGCGCATGTATGTGTTTCCTTCTTTATTGCAGTCTCAGCTAAAAAGAAAATATTGTACATCTACCTAAGAATAGAAAAAACAATTCCAATGTTTCCCAAAGTATCTGTAATATGCAAAGTTTTTTTTAAAGAAATGGGTCACATCTAATGGCTACCATCTGGCTATATGATTCTCCAAGCTTACCCTGAAATGCATTTCACATGTGCTTTTGAAGCAAAATTGCACATTGTCAGGGGGAAAAAAATGCTTTGCAGCCTTTGCAATTTCATCTAAAAGCTTAAATATTTCAAAGGGAATAATCTAAAACTAACAGGCAACACTACTGATTAACCCTACTCTTTTTGCCCAAGGATCTTCTAGTCCCCTCCCTCATCCAAGGCTGTGTCAAGCAATCCAGTGATCAATTGCTTCTTTACTCCCAAGTAAACACTGCTAACAAGTAGGGTTGAAAGGCAATCGGATACTGTTCCAGTTATTTTTTGTGTGTGTGCAAAAAAACACAAGGGAAAATTTCACAGTCATGTAAAGCATTTTCCCTTAGGCTTATTCCTCTTTTAAAGTTTATTCCACGTAGTAAAGCTTCTCTGTGAGACTGGTGGGGAAGCAGAGGTGGGATGCTACTGGTTCGAGCCAGGTCTACAGAACCTGTACCTGCAAAGAACAACTGACACTGAACCCGTTCGATGTTTGGCCCAGACGCCTACCTGGGCTCTAGGCTGTCCTTTATTTCCTGCTTTTCCCTCCTCAGTTGCTTTGCGCAGCACAGCTGAGGTTGAAAAAACAGGAAACGAGAATTTTCAAACGCTGCACACCTGAGCACAGCGCTTGTCAGCTGTCCAGGCGGCACAGCTG